ACCTCGAATCTTGGACCATTCCTTCGCCCATGGTTCATGGCACGCCTTGTTGTCGCACAAAATGTAAATGGCATCCACTTTTGGTATGCCGTGAATGTCATTTACAAGGCTTTGTCCTAATACTCCCGATGAAATTATGAAGGCCTTCCCATCATCAATCTCATTGAGGAATTCGACACACTGCTCTGGTGTCGTGCACACCTTCACGTCAATGACCACTGTGCGTAGTTGTGCCAGTGTGTTTCGGTAATCGTCATTGCTTTCGTCGATGTTGCCATCAACCCAAATGACCAGATAATTTTGAGCCATGCGACGCCCTGATGGCATTGTAGCAGCTAATTTTCTTCCGCTCATGTTGTGTGCGTGTTGTTGTTTGATAAAAGGCGAAAATTGTGAACGAATTTTTGTTATTTATACGTAAATTACTGTTTCTATTTCTATTTCTATAGTCGGTACCTTTTATTTTTTTTCTCGATTTTTCGACGACATATAATCTGAGTGTTTTTTTTTGTTTCGTTGACACAGCAAGAAACTTCGCCTGGTTTCAAAATTGAAAATACAGTAGTCAGTAAACAAAGGAACGAACAAAAAATTCCAACATTGCTATTCTTTCCGGCATCGATTTGTTTTTTCATCTAGATGAAAACTCAAGTGACATTATATTTGATGTCTCGTCTACCTCATTGTTTATTCTGCTCTTTTTGGTAAGAACGAAAAAATTCTAAGATTTCATTCATTCATTCATTTATTTTTTCATTATGAGTGTGAACTATTCCTGTTGAAATGAACGAAGGCAACAAGTTACCAATTATGTTTCTCATCGTTTTCTTCTTCAGCTCAATCTCAAATTAACAATGTGAAGAGAAACTATCCAAAAGCAAATTCATGCAGAAATTTTGATTTCAAGGTTAATCAAACGTTGGTGCACGTTTTTCTCCAAAAATAAATCTATCAATTAGAAAATCAATAGAATTGTTGGTTATCATTTACCACAAATCATCACCCCCAGATTTCACCTCCACATCATATCCCTACTGGTAACCAAATAGGGATTTTGTTTTTGAAAATAAGATGCGCCGTATACATCATGATTCAAGACCATATTCAGTCGTGCTGAAAATTTTTCTGCCATCAAAGCTAGGTGGTGCCACAAAAGTCACAGTACCAGAAAACACATTCTGGTGACCTGATAGACAAATATCAAACAGAGAGATACCAGTAGAGAGATAAGATTGAGTCGGCTTTTAGGATTCTGATGACCAGAATGTGTGTGCTGGTAGTGCTGTTTTCGTGGCACCACCTAGCTTTGATAATAAAAAATTTTCAGCAAGGTAAAACATGATGTTCAATCATGATGGTTCCAACATATCTTACATTCAAAAAAAAATCCCTAAATCAAAATCCCTATTTGTTCATCAGTAGAGATAATATTCTTTTCATTCTTCACAAATAGGGATATGATTTAGGGATGAAATCTGGGATGACGATGTGTGGTAAGTGATAGGCATTCATCATTAAAAAAAAGTAAATCACCCCAGACAAAGAAAAAAACATCGTTAAAGAACGAATACATGTCGAAGCTATTTTATTATGATTTGTTCGTTTCTGTATGTGTGTGGTCGGTGAAAATATGAAGTTAGAGTATTTTTACAAAGCATTGTTGAATCCAGTGACAAATAGTTATACTACCGGAGAATATCAATAGAGTTATAATGAAATTAAAATGAGTGTTGTTTTCGACTTTCACAACTCGATGTCTACAGCAGCTAATAATGATAACAGACAGAGTATTAACGAGTGAGATAAATCGTTACGCTGAAGAAAAGTATTATTAATGCATACTAATTACTGCAGTCTCTCAAATATAAAAATTTCATTCTTGAGAATATCCTTGTAAGGAAACAACGCCATTTCTTGTATTATTATTCTTTGCAATTTTCGTTTCTTTCTCGCATTGTTTATTTTTTCGTTCTGGTGAGAAAAAGATCTCGGTTATTTTTGGTTATGAAAATGAATTAATTCTCCAAAAGTTGATGAAGACAAAAAGAAAGATTAAATTTTCATCAGAATACCAATAATATGTGTCTATCAATCTATCATCGGACAAATTTCATATAAAAATTCATGTAAACTCTGCCACTGATTAGGTAGTAAAATTTTCTTTATTGGCATAATTTTAAGTTTGAAATTTGATAAGTATAACGTATATATGATCTTTCACTGGATATTTTAGAAATATTTTCGTCTATGGCACTTGATTTGATGAAAATTGATCCTAATTGAGTAATACATCATAAAAAAAAGTATTGAGTGAGTAGATGTTTTATTGTCACAGTGATTGTGAGATGCTATTTGCTGAATTTTATTTATAATCATGACTTTTGCTATGATCTGAATAGTTTGAATTCGAGGGTGTGGGTGTGGGCGCGGGAGTTGGTGTGCATGCATTCAACTTACGTTTAAGTAGGTGCGGATGTTTTCATGCTTGTCTACCGCAGCGACGCGCCAATATCGAATGATTTGCCTTTTCCACGTGGTTGACAGTGCGCCTGTATTTATCTTTTTACCTGTCATTCGCTGTAAATTTAGTATTTTGTTTATGTGGCTATATCCATGGATGATTACGATTTAGCAAGCCGATAATTGTTTCGACGCTCACCAGCACCATTCGCGGCGTCCTATGATGAACTAATTTATGGGTTCGCCTTCCCTGTGAGTTAGACAGCATTGCTGGATGAACGGTTGCCACACTCGATTGTGAGCAAAGGCTGGGTATCGGTCATAGCCTTCAAATCAGGAAAATATTTTTTCTCAGTAGTTCCCGAAGATAAGGCGTCTCTGCGTGAGACGCAGAATGCGCTGAAATAATTTTACATACGCATAGTATTTGTATTATATGTTAGTATTCGTTTTGTATGTCGGCGTCTCCCTTGGCATCTCCAGCATGCCCGATATTTCGGATATGTGACACCTCTCGTAGTTGTAACCAAATATGAATTTCTACTGGTTCATCTACAGTCAATGTGGATATGTTTTGATTGCTCATGATGAATGAAATAATTCAAGAAAGCAGCAAGATTTCATCGTTTCAAATAGATATTGCCAATACTTTCTCTTTTCAATCCGTTTTCTTTTCTGATTGCTATAGAATTGAATGACTTCTTTCTCAATCACTCTTTCATTTCGTGAGTTCTGCTGGCAAAACAGCGCTGGACAGTTTCTTTTGATTAACTAAACGAAGCAAAACAAAAAAGAAAGAGAAAGCCAATATTGCTTTTTTACCAACCATAATTGAATGCAGACCAACAATAATAATATGTATATATGAAACATTCGCAAACGAAGGTTAAAAAAACATTCCTAAGTCGTATACACCGATCGACGTCAACTAATGATATTTTTTCCCGTGAACAATACTATATCGCCACTGATCGTTGTTTTTTAAATATGAAAGCCTCGAGAAAAAAAATAACTGCAGTTAATCGCTAGAGTATACACAATTAAAGAAGGTTAACTGGAAGATTTCCCACTCTAAATGTTCTCTAGTACTATAGCTTTCTGCGTTACAACTTTTGTTGGTAGCGATCAGGCTAGATTTCTCGAGGACTACAAGTTTCTGTAATTGGTTAGTTTAGAAGAAAAATACTCACTAATCTAAATCGTCTCCATCTTGTCTTACCATATTCGATTTTCGAATGAGTGTAAAAAGAAATATTTCCATAAGAAACGAAGTTTTATTACAAACAAATGAACTACACACAGATGGAATCAAACACAAAGCAAAACGAAATATGTTTATAATATCCAAAGAAGACAAGCAAAAAAATAGGGCTGATGATAGGTGACAGGAAAAAAAACAGATAAATCACATCTGACTAAATCAATCGTTCTTCTGGTGGGGGTTTTAAAATCATACTAAATTCCACGCGTGAAGTTTGACCATGTTCATTCAATGCTGGTCTATAGGTTCCTTGTAATCGACGACTTTCTTTTACACGTCCAACGGCAATAGTGAATAGAGTAATAATCATTAGTAATAAAATAGCCATGCTTGGCCATATAATATAATGATATGAAAAACCAAGAGATCTTAAAAATTCTTGTCTACTCTCACATTGAAGTCCAATAAAATCCTTTGGACATACACAAATATATCCATCTCGTTCATTAATACAACTTGCATTATTTTGACACGGATTACTAAGACATTCATTGATTTCTGTAGTACATTGTTCATCTTCATAACCTATTAAAAACCATTGGATTACATTTCATCGAATAGAAAATTGATTTTTACCTGTTCCTGTGCAATTACATATAAATCCATGATCAGTATCATGTGTACATGTTCCATTATGATGGCAAGGTGTTGATTCACATGTTAATAGTTCACAGTTTACACCTGTAAAATTTGTTAAACATTCACAATAATATTGTTCACCACCATCAACTTTACATTGTCCACGATTAAGACAAGGTGATTGGTCCAAACAAATATGTTTATGTTCACAATGTTCTCCTAGATAATGTTCTTGACATTGACATCGATATCCACCAGGATAATTAATACATTTGCCATTGTTTAAACAAATCTCTGTTTGATTCGCTAGTTCGCATTCATTTACATCATGTTCACATTCATTACCATCGAATTGTTCACTGCATAAACATTTTGCCTTGCCATTGGGTAATCGCTGGCATGTACCATCATTTTGGCAATGCAATTGTGAACATAAATCGTTCTCACACCATAAACCATCATAACCATTTAAACATTCACATTCACTTTCAGGATTATCAACATAAAGATGAGTACTTTTTAATATACATGTACCATTATTTTCACAGCTATGTAATTGACCAAAACAGGTGGCATCAATTGATTTTGAACAATTCGAATTAATGTATTCCTTCGTACAATTACATAAATACCCATCGATTAAATCAGTACAAGTACCATTGTTAGCGCAAGGCGACGATGCACATTCATCGATATTTGTTTCACAACTGAAGAAGAAAAACGTACTGAGTTTTGTTTTACAGATTGACAGAGGTCAAGGATACGTTGTAACTCAGAAATATATTGAGACTCGCTGTGAATGTCAAGGATATCTAATGCTTAAATCAATGTTAGTAAAAATATAATATCTAAGATTCGTTAAGAATTTTTTCGCGATTGCTTAAACTTCATCAATATAATAAAGGTCTACTTACAATTGGCCCGTAAATCCTTGCTGACATTTGCATGTATAATATCCATCTAAATGATCTTCACAAATACTATTTTCTTTTGAACAATTATTTCCTAGTTCACATTCATTAATATTCATTTGACAAAAATCTCCATTCCATCCAATATTACATACACATTTGCCTCGATCAAAATCACTATAACATAAACCATTTTGACAGTTGATATTTTCACATACATGATTAAATGAACAATTATTAATATGTATGTTTTCGATTTGTTCAATAAAAAATTTATTTTGCCTCGTATCATTGTCGTATATCATATCATTATAAAATGGTATGTAGAGATTTTCTCCGAGTAAAACAAATTCTAAACATCCTCGAAAACCATTTCCAATATATATTTGTGTTTGACCGTTGGATGTCAGCAAAGATTTCAATGATAAATTAATTGTGTATGTAAATAAATAGTTAATTGTTAATGTTGAAAAATCTGACCAATGTAAATGAAATGTGGTCCATTCGTCAAATACGCTCTCGTTTAATTCAATAATAAGATCGGTTGTTAATATTGAATCACGATAAATTAAGTTTTGACCAAAGAGATAAATAGAAAAATAATTGGATGTATATAAATTTTTTATGGTTAATAAATGAGCATTTTGAGGGCGAGCACGAAGTCGAAAGGAAATTTCATTGGTGATTTTCGACACAGAACTATGATGTAATGTTGCTATTAGACTGCTCGTATTTCCTTCGAATGTGGCCGTTGCTAAGCCTATTTTATATATTTTGTTTTTATTGATAAAAGTTTCATAATTAGAAACAAAAAAGTAAAAACTTACATTCTTGATTTTCATCAGTAACTTTACAAATGAATCCATTCGGGCATAGACTACTGTTATTATAATTACATATATTTGGTTCCGAACAATTTCTACCAAACCATCTTGGATCACATTGACATCTGATTAATGATGGAAATAAGAGAAGATAGATAACGATTGCATTTACATAAAGTTTATTTATCATTATTCACTCATATGTACGTACGTGTACAGGTATTTGTTTAAATCGAAAACTACGGTACATACATGCTTTGTAACCATCATCCTCTCGCCTGTAGATTTATCTTTTTTACTATTTCTTTTGTACTATTGTATTACGAGACGAAGAAAAATGTAGGCACAATGTAACCATGAGAAGAGAACACACAACAATGGTGACACAAAAGAAATGGACAGTGGCACAGATTTAAGTACGTAATCAAATAGTGTCTAAGCAGGGGAGTAATTATATTCATTTTGTACTAAAGATTTTAAAAGATAGAAGAGAATTTGTAATTTTTATCTATGAGCGAGAATTACTTCTCTTTTATTGTATTTTATAAATTAAAATAAACTACTTACAGATAATCTTGTGAATGTGTTATGAGACAGATGCCTTCGTTTAAACATGGATTATTTGGATAGCATGGATTTTGTTCGATTTCATTCATATTTAAACTTGTTATATTGAAATTTTGTGCTATTTGGTTTGTATGATCAAATGAAATGAGTTGATCGTTGATGCGTATACCTTGTAGCCAACCATTTAATGAACCATCACCTAATAATTCAACTTGATTTAACAGTAATTTATTATTTGCTTTTTTTAAAGTTTCATTATGGATTTCATCGATAATTAATCTATAATTTTCTAAATCAAGTTCAATTTGATGTGGCCGTCCATCGTTCAGTGTTTGTTCACTACGTAATTCAAATTCTTGCCGTTTAGGTCCATCGTCAATAATTATCAATCGAAAACGGCCATTTATTAATCCTCCGATTATCTTCGATGCTGATCGATTTTGTAATGTTAGATCACGAGTAGATCGATAGTGTTTCATTGAAGAAACAAGTTCAAAGAGTGTTCCATTCGATTGAAGAGTATTAAAGAAGAGCGACATATTTGATATCGGCGATGACAATAATATATTTGCTGAACTTGATTGATTGAATGTTACTATTGGAGGAACTAAGTTGATAGGCAAAAGCAAATATGAATAGATAACAAGACGAACACAAAATAGGATTTTACTTAGATCACAATTTTCACCAAAAAATGGCCGTTGACATTGACATCGATGATAAAACCAATGATCTTCACATAATTCATTCTTTTGACAAACTGCATTTTGACAAGCATCCGTTCTAAAAAAAAAGACATTTTATTTCTTTAGCACTCATAAAATTGAATAATAAGAGAAACGTCTAGGTGATCTATCTTTGAAGATTGATAACATTCAATTATTTTCATTCTCGTAAATACCTTTCACATCCCAATGTTCGATTTTCACTTGTTTCAATCAGATGATCAGTGAGTAAAATCGAGTAAGCTTGACTATACGTAATTTCAATATTTCTTACACAACCGGAATAACTTTTATAACCGAATACAACTTGATTATTGATTAAATTTGCTAATGATGTATTCGAAACGAAAAATCTTTGCGATAAAGAATTGAGTCCAATTCTTACATCAACCCACAAATGAAAGATTTCAATCGTAATCATAAACCATTTTTCATTATAATCGATAGATGTTGATAGAATCGTTTTATCATCTAAATTAGTTAAGATTCTATTGTTGACAAGTTTCTGTTTAAAACGTTTTCCAATGGAAAGAAGTGAAACTTTGTCTAGTGTTGTGCGAAATTCATATTGAATTCGTATTGGTAATGACGAATGACGATATGGTAAATACTGTGAAATATTTATCGATGAATTCCGTAGATGAAATGTTGATGACAGACTTGGATGATAAATAAATGATTTGCTTATATCGTGTTGTCGTTTTTCACAATTATAACCATTCCAACCAGGTTCGCAATGACATTGATAACCATTTACTAAATCAACACATTCGCCATGTGTTGAACAAGGTTTTGTATAGCAATCGTTGATATTTGTTTCGCAGAAAAGACCAGTAAAACCCGATAAGCACGAACATTGAATTTTATGATTATTTATTGAACATAAGCCACCATTAAGACATAAACTGGTATTAAATGGTGTATGACATAAATCAACTGCTTGTTCACAATTTTTGCCTTGATAGTTCAATGGACATTGACATTCAAATGTATTATTATGATTGAAACATTTTCCATGATGTTGACATGGCTGAGATAGACAAGGCGTTTGATAGATTTCACAATTTTTACCTGTATAACTTGATAGGCAATTACATTTGTATTTTTCCTTAAATCTTTGACATGTACCATTATTAAGACAAGGATTATTTTCACATCGGTCAATTAGGTTTTGACAATAGATTCCCTTGTAACTAGTTGGGCATTGGCATGTAAATGAATTCAATTGTGATAAACATGTACCATTATTATAACATGGACGACTGAGACAATGATCAATTTGAGTAAGACAATTCTCACCAGTTAAACCGGGTGAACAATAGCAGCGATAAGTTTTCGAATTTATCCAATGACAAGTACCACCGTTATGACAAGGACAAGATGCTCTTGAAACCAATGGTCTATTAGAAGTTTCAGTGTAATTATCGGCACATGGAAGAATATCTAAATAAAAAAAACGTCCCCCGGCATTGAATTGTCTATAGGAATGAAACAAAAATGCTTTCTTACTTGAAGGACAATGACAATAATTATATTTCTGTTCACTTGAACATGTAAAATAATTATCCAGTGTTCGATCACGTTCTGTTCTACATGTATATGTTGTTAATTGATTCAATTGCCGTAATTTTTCCGTATCATTTACAACGCATAAATGAGGATCATTACATTTGACAGAAAAACTCGCTTTTTGATATCGTTCACATTCCGATGGGGGATATTCACAATGAAAGCCTATTCAAAAACAACTGTACAAGTTACTACACAGACGACCTATTCATACCGAAATAACCAGTCGGACAACGGCAATGAAACCCACCAACGTAATTATAGCAGGTTCCATTATTGACACATGGTTCTATTAAACATTCATCAATATCATATTGACAAACGTCACCTGTATATGGTGATAAACAACGACATTCGAATCCATTTATCTAAAATAATTTCGATCGCATGCTTCGTTATTTTTGTCTTTTTTTGTATTATGAAAACTATTTACTTTATTAATACACGTTCCATTTCGATTGCACGGTTGAGAAATACAATAATCAATTGCTTTAGCACACGTTGAACCAATCCAACCTGGTGCACAATAACATCGATAGGAGCCAACATCGTTGACACATCTGTCTCGAACAATTTCAAATATTCATGAGAAGATTTCTGTTTCAATAAAATAACTTACGTTCCACCATTTCGACATATAAACGGAAATATACTACATTCATCGATATCTTCATCACATTGAACACCTGTATAAGTCGGTGGACACATACAACGATATTGACCGCCATTTAAATTATAACAAGTTGCATTTTGATGACACGGTGATGAATCGCAAGGATTTTGTTCAACACAGGAACTATCCCAATCTTTAAAAAGAACTCTTTACATTTTGAAAAAGAGCCATACACATGCACATACTTCGTTTAAAATTCGATTTACATTCACAATGAAATGAATTAACACCATCGACACATTGTGTATTGTTCTTTTGACAAATTATACCTTCACAATCATTTATATTTGTCTCACAATTATGACCCGTGAAACCTGACTGGCATACACAATGGTAGAGGACATGATCCCGATCAAGAATTGAATGACATTTAGTAGCATTGTTAAGACACGGTTGAGATAAACATGGATCTAATGTCTACAGAGAAAATTGGCTTATTTTTGTCAAGTGCGTTAAGGAGTCAATAGGATTTATACTCTTTATCGAATGTCAATCTTTAAAAAGAAAAGATCTGTTGATTAGTCGGATTGAATTTCTTATGACATTATGCATATTAATATATGTCAATCTCAATAGTTCAAGTAGTCATATCGATACTGAACAAATAGCATACAAAAACAAACTAGTTCAATGTCGTTCTACCGATAGATTTCTTTTTCTTAAAATCATTCATGCGTCATCTCTCATATCTCAGGCAAAACTTGCGAATTAATTTTATTGGTCATACCATTTCACAGTTGAATCCAGTGAAACTTTCGAAACATTCACATTTATACGATCCAGGTAGATTGATACAATTTCGGGCTGCTTTACATGTTTGTGTTGTTGTACATTCATCAATATCTTCTGAACAGTCTACTCCAGTCCAGCCAGGATCTAAAATAACAACAGTTCTTCTTTCCTGATAGTCAAATATCGTTTTTGCTTCATACCACAAACACATGAATAACCATTGGGTACATCAATACATGTACTCTGTTTTGGACACGGGTTTGATTGACATTCGTTGATATCGTATTCACACTGATCACCAGCAAAACCTTGACAAAGAAAAAAAGTTTTATAAAAAAAAAGACAAAAATGAATTTCAACAGTAAATTTACCAAATGGACAAACGCATTGCGAAGAATTTTTTAATCTCTCACTATGGCAAAATCCTTGATTTAGACAATCATTAGTCGAACAAAGAACAGGTATTGTTTTTAATCCACATTGCAAATCTATTTCAAATACATAAAAATAAATTTCTCGTAAAATTCGTTTTCAACTAACCAGTAAACGGATAACAATCAAATATTTTAAATAGTGGACAATACTGTTCAGCATTATTCGACGACGTACATATCCGATGTTCTACAAATACATAAAGAAAACATACTTTGACTTCTTCGTTCTCTCTCTCAATACTAACCACACGTCTTTATATTTGTTACACAAGAATTCAGAAAACTGTTTTTATTGATTTCAAAACCTTTGTACGGCAGTAAACATGTTAGATTTTTATCTTGTTCATTAACAAGTATACGAATATTTAATTTTGTTTCAATTGTTTTATTTTGAAACAGTAGGGGATAATCAACTAAAGGTATTTTTCGTGTTTCATCATTATTAAATGATATAAATACACGTGATAAACTATCATCAAATATAAGATTAACATGATTCCATGTATCAATTTGATGGTAATAGTTAATTGCCGATTGATATTGATAATCGAAATTGGATAAATTTCCTAGTAGGGTATTTAAATTACCAAATTTATATTGAAGTTTTTCTTTTTTATAACGATAAATAACATTTAAATGAAAATCTTTTGTTAGCAATTGAAATTGTTGACTGTTCAATGGATGATAATGTTCAATATGAATTAAATCAATATTTGGTAAGCAGGAACGATAACTAAAACTTATACTTCTTGATGAAATTTTACAAATAAGAAGAATAAAACTAAAGACTAAAACAAAAGAATATTAACAGTTAAATTGAAAAGCAAAAATAACTCTTATCAAGTTGTACCTTGAATATTTGCCCAGTACATCTTGGCATTTCCAACACGATTTGTTTTCGTCAATTATGACAACTCATGTGAACAATAATCGGTTCATTATCTTCTATACATAATAACGGCGACTGTTGGGCGGACAGGTCAAATCGAAAAAACAACAGAAAACATCAAACATAAGAATAGAGAGAGAGAGAGAGAGAGGGGGAGAGACACGAACGAAAGTGAGTTAGTTGTAGGAGAACAAAAAGTGACTGACCTCTTATAAACGAAAACGAGGAGGAGGAAGTGAGCGTATCTGACATTTTAATTTCGTAAGAAGAAGACTCGTGCATACATTGACGATGAACGAAGAAATTAGATATGTTAACATCCCATAATCTCTTTTCCTTTTCAACTTGGCATGTACATTTTCGCAATCCTCGTCCTCTCATCGATAATGTAAAGAAACAATCTTCATAAACATTGAGCTATTATAGTGAACAATTGAATTATTAGACATTCAATCAAGTTTGTAAGCGAAATCAGACTAAACTGAATTCTACAAAAACAAAAAGAAGATAAGAGAGAAGTATCAAAAACAAATCAGCACGATCAAAAAAAAAAAGACTACAAAATAAATCTCGGCGAGTATCAGGTGTTCGAACTCATTTGAAACGGATAGAATAATGATTGCTTCAGTCTGATCGATCTATCTTTTGAAAGTCGCCGACACTTAGTAATATACAGTAGACAGAAGCATCTGTTCACTTTACTTGAAATGCTTATATTGACTAGGTTTATTCTAGTCAATACACAGTTTCTCATTAGACGATCTATCACTATTCGATGATTTTCGCTCGCTTAATAATATTTGAATGATTGTCAAAACATAGTTCACTTCAAAATGACTCTCCCGGATAAATTCTCTCATGCTGAAAATGTTAGTTTTTCACATTGACATGTAAATTTTCTTCTCATTTTGTTGATTCAAACTTGTATTAACAGGCGACGTCCACTTATTCATTGAACCTGTCCTTGCTATCATATCATCTTTCAATACTCAGACATATTTTCGAATGTGTGTGAATATTCTAATTGAACCTTACCTATACTTGACCAATATACATATACACACGTGCACATATTCAAGTATGAGATATGAATGAACGATATAGTAATCAGATCTAATTATAATTATAACAAGAAAAGGAAAAAAAACGCAGAGAATGTACGATGATCATCCATTAGTCTATTTCCTAATCGTTCTCATGTCTGCTGAAGTTCAATGATGTGAAGAAAATGAGATGAACTCGAGCTAATTGTCGTCGTTCCGATTAAGTTCTAGTGAAAGGTAGAATTTTCTCTCTGATCAAATGATACTCTAATCCTGTTAAACAAGATGAAAGGATCACATTGTCCTATATTTCAAGGTAACATCGAAATAGTCGTGAGAGATGAAAGTGAACGGAAGTCAAAAAGAGCTTGTTTTTCTTCGCTAATCTTTGTCGTTCTCTCTTTTTTGTCTTACATGGTAAAAAGTAATCTACAACATCCAATCGATATGAAGTAAAATGTTATTTTAACTTTCGGTATGTTATTTATATATATATATATGAACTTCGTTGTTCAAGTATGCATAAAGAATATCTTTAACTGCAAGCAAGCTGCTAGAATAATCGTATATGCTTGATGTTTTTATCTTGTCCAAGTAGAATAACAAATATTTATTCAAGTAATTCAGATTGATAGCGAAGCTATGGTCAACTTTCGAATAACAAACAGTTGAATTTCTATTGTTAAAGCACATTCATAAACAAGAAAATTTTTCTATATAATCTTAATCGACATATTTGTAAACATGCATACCAAACAAACGTTAAATGTATTCTCACGACTTTAAATCTATCATCATTTAGAATGCGAAGAGAAAAACATTTTCGAAATTAATTAATTAGCACGAAAATCAAAGATATTTACTGCGATCTACGCTTTGCCCGATAGGCGATATGCAAAGCAACTCAAGCAATGCCCACTGCAAAACCAACAATCGAGACACATACGTCTACAACTAGTCTATCATTTGTATTGTTTTCTCTTGATTATCGATGCATTGAGTTACGCAAAGAATCTGTTGAGAATGAAGTTGTCGTTGGTTAGATGGTAAAATTTGTTCATTGGAAAGCTCGTTGATAATAGCTGATGTATGCGTAAACGGTTTCATATATTCAACATCGGTTTCTGTTGGATCTATTGCAACAGCTGTGTATGGCGGTGGGGGTGGTAATGGCTGATTTTCATTCGGTGTTACTCATGAACCGAAATCAGCATAGAACTGTCAGTGTTGCTTGTCATTTCTATCTTGTGATTATTATTGTTGATTGATGATGCACGGAACTAGTCAGCTTGTACCATGTAATATAAAAGATAACTGCACTATCGTCGTTGTTCTATCGAATACAGAACAAGATCATGAAAAATTACAAGCATTTTTTAATGACGTACGCTAACAGGCGACTTCGTGTTTTTATCTTAAACTATGAAAAGTTGATATTCAGTCTGATTTCTAATTATCATGCGAAACTTTTCATATTCGATAATTCAATGATTTTAGGAAACACACATTATTTACAACAGTTCGAATTGGATTAGATAAAGGACAAAAGTAATTTTTTGTAAATAAACTTTTGATTTTTGTGTGAAGACATTCAAATTGACGCAGATCAAAGCTGACTTTCAATTTAATGTATACTGCTTGAAGATCTTGAATAAAAACTAATCTTTACGAAATATCATCCTCTAGACTGTTCACCTTGTGTCACCATTAACAAATCACTTGTTCATAGTAACTCGCTAGAATAAAAGTCCTTGGATTATGTACTAGCATTTTGTTAACCTTCTTCTCTCTAGTCAAATGATGTTTTTTCCGATAGAAAATTAAAAATATCTGATAATCATGTATGCGATTTAGTTGTTTTTATTAGTATTCATAGTTATTATTAAGATTCTATAAATCTAGGCATAGAGATTGTATTACGAGACGTTTTTTTCCAGAGTTGTCAGTAGTTTTTCCATGTCTTCCTTTCTTTTGACTTAGAAGGTAACGTAAGAAAAATACAATATACACAGTATGATTATGAATGTATATCGCTTATCTTATATTTTCCGACTTAAATATAATAAAATAAAAAACTAGAAAAGTTAACGTTGAATGAATAACCATTGCGACGAACAAAGAGAGCCATCTGTTTCAACGACACATGTATTGTTCGATTGTTATTTGTTTTGTTTTGTTTTTTCGATTGAATGGCATTTATTGATTCGTTATTCGACATTTGATACTTTAATTTCCTTCAAGAAATGTCATTGTTCTTTGTTCTGTCGAAAACAAAAAAAGCGAATTTTCAAAATTTTACAATCAACTGATGATTATTATAACCTCATCTATATACAAACTATACAATATAATTTACTAGAACGAAAAAAAAGCGCATGTAATGAAACTTTTTCTCATGATATGACGCTTATGAATCAGCTGGTGCTATGAGTGGGTGGATCGATAAAAACGACGTATAAAAAAAACGTTTATGCCTCACCCTGCCTACATCGATATGGAGTCAATCGAGCGTCGCAAATAGAAATATCATAGAACTAAATTTCATCTAGTCGAAACAAATCGAATATGTTGTCAAATGAAACAAAAGAAACTATCGCTCGAATTCGAAGGCAATTATCTCTGTTTGGTTGGAAAATTCTCTACGATTGGACGTTTTCATTAGCCGCACTTATTGCATATTATTTACTTATTTCATTACTACCACTTGCAGTAAGCTTGTTTGCGGTTGTTAGTTTGATATTTAATGATCGAGAAGAATTTCAAAAACGAATGCGTGATCGCTTAACAGTAACATTTCCTGAGCGAGGTTTCAATGATACGATCGATTCGTTATTTAATTCAATATCAAAACAAGCTGGTGTATTGTTTGCCGTTGGTTTTGTTATATCAATTTTTACTGGCTCACGTTTATTCGTCGGTATTGATGATGTTTTAACAATTATATATCGTATACGTGAACGAACAATTCTCGATCAAAATTTTCTTGCACTTAAAATGATTTTAGCATTTATAACAATAACACCATTTATTATTTTATTTTCATCGGTTCCAGCTATTTTAGAAAGTCATCAAGGATTTTATCAATTTTTAGTGGTTTTTATTAGTTGTATACTTTCATTTATATTCATTGAACTCATTTATGTAATTGTTCCTAAACGTCAAATGCGATGGAAACATACGTATGTAGAAAACATTTATTTATTTTTGTTTGTTTGTTGAAAAACAAAATCTTTTCAACATTTTAGTTGGTGTGGGGCATTCGTTGCAGCTGTAGGTTTGCAACTTGTTCTTTTAATTTTTCCATGGTATGTTCATCAATTTATGAATGATTATGCTGGACAATTAGGTTTCGTAATAATTATATTACTATTTTTTTATTTATTTGGTCTATTATTTGTCATTGGCGCTCAAATCAATGCATTCTTCTTCGATCATATTCAACCGTTGAAAGCTGGTCTCGGCACATGTCTATGTGAATCTGTTGATCGTGAACAAATACAATTAACCGATGAAAATTTTCAAACACATGAGTTTATGGCTGAAGAGTTAAATCATATTGATCAACCAGCACTGCCATAAGAAAAAAAAAGTTTTTTTTTTTTTGAGCCAAATTTGTACGCATAAACCAATGACTCGATAGAAAACAAAATATCGTTTGTTACTATTATATTTTTAAAAACTGTCATGCAATATCAATAAATTGAATAACATGATTTATTATGGTGGACGTTTTTTTTCTATAATTTCTCGAATGATATGATCTCTTACGCGTGTGAATATCTATTCATTATGTCAATATAATTGACATTGTGTTACAACTTCGACACACCCTCAGCCAATAAAAGACTAGGTCAAAAACAAAAAAAAATCTTGTGATCAAAGTACCGATTTCTATCGTACATTATTTACCTGGAAGATTTTTAAAAGAGAGATGTGCATTTGGGAAAATTTGAAGCAGATGTAAAAACGTTTTCGATGACAACAGTTTTAAAAGTATCTGAGGAAGAAAAAGTTATGCATATTTTTCTTTGCTATTGTTTGCATGTGTGTCGTTAGGCGTGCAGACCTGTGCACCTGAGTGAATGTTAACGGTTCATATATAATATCGTCATATTTCGTGTTATTGAATACTGGTAGTCAACTTTAGTGTTGTTTTTCAAATAGCGGAGAAAAGTTTTTATGAACAAAACATATATTCTGTGCTTTGTTCTGTTCAAGGTTACCTTTTTTTTGTAATATTTTTTATAAACAATAGAATAAATCTCGTAAATATTATTTAAGATCACGCCGAGAAAAATACATAGGTACATATTATGGTATCGATGACCTGTTTAATATGTAGTTCATTTTCTTTTTTATTTTGCACCTTACGAGTGGTTTAAAGCCATCAAGTAAAAGTGAAGATCTCTAATAGGAAAGTTTTCTCACATTCATCAAGCGGCAGTGAACAGATGAGTATTCGTCGGAAAATAGAGCCAATGAAAAAGTTCTTAGTTACTCACAATGCGGTAGTTAAGGATCAGTCAGTAGGTGTTTTATACTACGCACGGAAGAACATCTTGTTTTCTACTCGTAATTTGGAAAAATGGTAAAATTACTTTAGCATTTTTTTCTATAATTTATATTTCTCAACTAACTATTTAGCCTCGTCCGGCAGCTGCTGCATCAACTAAGGGTAAAGATGAATCGGTTCGAGTCGTTGTTCGATGTCGTCCGATGAGCGACAAAGAACAAGAATCTAGCTGTGAAAGGTTCAGTTTGCTTTTCTTGCGTTTAAAAAAATAATAAACCTATCCTTCTTTTTATTTCAACAGAGTAGTTGACATCGATCATCAACGTCGACAAATATCCATTCGACGGCCCGCTCTTGAATCTTCACAACGCAATGCTGATGAAAGTACACATGCATTCTTCTTCGATGCAGTTTATGATTGGACGTAGGTTATGAATATTTTTCTTAATAGTTTGTAGCCAATTTAAAAATTAATTTAGTTCAAAACAAAAAGATGTTTATGAACAAACTGCTCGGCCACTTGTTGATTCAGTACTAGAAGGATTTAACGGAACAATATTTGCCTACGGTCAAACTGGTACTGGAAAAACATTTACAATGGAAGGTAAAGAACAAACAAAACGGATTAATAATTAATTCAATTTTAAATTCATTGATTTCATAGGTGTTCGTTCTCAAGTGGAATTACGTGGAATAATTCCATCATCGTTTGCACATATTTTTGATTCTATCGCACATGGTACATCTAGACAATTTCTTGTACGAGCTTCTTACCTTGAAATCTATAATGTAAATATTGACGTTTCTATTCCAATTTTTGTTTTTGATGCTAAGCGAAGACGTTTTTCTAGGAAAGTATTCGTGATCTTTTATCAAAAGATCAAAATAAACGTTTACAATTACAAGAACATCCAAAAGAAGGTGTTCATGTACATGATCTCAGTTCATTTATTACAAAAAATGTACAAGAAATAGAACATGTGATGACAACAGGAAATCTAAATCGTTCAACAGGGTATAGTTTACATTCGTTTTATTGAGAAAAAAATTTTTTTTTCCATTAATTAGGGCAACCAATATGAATGAACATAGTTCACGATCGCATGCTATTTTTATTATTACTGTAGAAAGTAGTGAAGTAATACTAATGATTTATATTTAAAGAAAAAGAAACATGAAGAAATTAAATTATAATAATTTAGCTTGGCACCGATGGAAAGCCACATATCTGTGTTGGCAAACTGAATCTTGTTGATTTAGCTGGTAGTGAACGTCAAGCGAAAACAGGATCGACCGTAAGAATTTTATTAAAATTAAAAAAAACCAAATTAAATAATTTATCTCTAATAAATTCAGGGTGATCGCTTTAAAGAAGCAACAAATATAAATTTATCTCTTTCTGTACTTGGTAATGTTATTTCTGCACTTGTTGATGGAAGCTCACACGTACCCTATCGAGATTCGAAACTGACTAGATTGTTACAAAGTAAAAATTTCCGAAGGATATTATTTGATGAAAGCAAAAGGAAAGAAAAATTTTCTAGATTCTCTTGGTGGTAATTCAAAAACAATTATGATTGCAACACTTGGACCTGCAAATTATAATTATGAAGAATCCCTTACAACGCTTCGGTAATTAATTCGTCTTGAGATGTAGGAGAGAAGTCTAGAAATATGATTGAAATCATATAATAGTTTATGATTGTAGCAGGTGCTGCCCATTGAATGACAACAGATGTCGACATTTATATATTTCTATGATGATTTCTGAGAATTACCATTATGTGTAATTTGACACTGATGTGAATTTTAAAAATAGAATTGCGTTAATGCATAGTTTTCTTTGAATAATTTTACTTTTAGTTATGCTAATCGTGCTAAAAATATCAAGAATCAACCACGTATAAATGAAGACCCGAAAGATGCTCTATTAAGAAAATTTCAAGAAGAAATAGCACGATTAAAAGAGCAACTTGGAGGAAAAGGTAGCGACAGTAAAGGCTCACGTCGTTCTCGAAATAAAGACGGGGCTAGCAATGATGGCGGAAACGAGGATGATCACAATGATGAAGAACTATATCTCAAAGAACAACAAGATAGACTAAACGAAGAAAAAAGATCAATTTGCCAGAAGAAAAATTTAAATGGTAAATTGAATTTTTCGTTTTGTTTTCAAACAAGTCAAATTTTAATATATATGATCTAGAAACGGAACGAGATAACATGCTTAGAGAATTAGAAAAAAAACAACAAGAAATTCAGCGTGAACAAGATGAACGTCGTGAAATGCAAAATAAAATTCAACAAATGGAATCGAAATTAATTACCGGTGGAAAAGATATTATTACACATACGAGTGAACAAGAAGAAAGTTTACGACAAAAAAGGTTTCGTTTACATGAGTTATATTTTTACTAGACAACAACAAGAACATTGCTTATTTTTCAGACGTTTAATTGCTGAAGCTGAACGACGTAATCGTGAAGTTCAACAGCAATTAGAACAAGGCGAAGAAGAACGACAAAGTATGAAGGAAAAATATACAAGTATCAAAGAAGAAGTTGAAGATAAACGAACTAAACGAGATAAATTATCTAAACAATTGAAAAAAGTTGAAGCTAAAAAACTTGAAATTATTGAAAAACATCGAATAGCACGTGAAGAACTTGAAGCCGAACAACGTGAAATTCAGAAACAAACGAAATTATTTCAGCTTGTTATTCAAAATTTTATTCCCGTTGATGAACGTGAGCGATTATTGAAACGAGTTCAATTTGATGATCGGCAAAATTGTTGGACACTGAAAGAATTGTCAAAAGAAACGTAAATATAATCATAAATAATAATAAAAGACAAAACGATTTCTGTAAAAATGAAACTTTTTATAGAGATCAAATGGCTGCTCGTCCAGTTTTTACTCGACATGATCGCCGTCCAATAGCTCTACATTCACAGGCGAATTCCGTTCCAGAAGTCGCTTATTTCAAAGTAGTATTCATTTTGTATTTTTATCAAATCAATATTATTCAGAAACTATTCTAGGGTGAAAATATAATTTTGCTTCAACTCGATTTCCCTAGTCGAACAACTCGAGACTATGAAGGTCCAATGGTTTCGCCGGTGCTTCAAGCTACAATCGAAACTGCAATGAGAGACGAAGAACATATTGAATTAGATGCCAAGTAGATGATTTTTTTTTGTTTTTAAATACATAATTGAATTCAATTTTCTACTACAGTAATATTCCAGTTGACAAACGTAGGAAAAAAAAGTGAGTTCGAAATTATGCATAATGAAAATTTAATTTTGATTTTTAGGAAAGTGATTCCGAATAATGGAGGTACTTATGATGATTATGCATCATCGACATCGACGATATTGTCTATCGGACACGGAGATTTAAATGCAAGTCGCGGTATGAATAGTGCAAGACGTTACAATTGAAATAATTCTGCAATATGAACAGTGATATAATTGTTGTATTTTTTGTTCTATTAATATTATTTTTCGATGTATATTGTGAAATATTCTACGTCAATAAATTGCTTATGTGATCAAGTCATTACGCAGTCTCATGCCATCAGTAGCAAGAAAGTAGTTTTCTGTGTCAGAGAATATCTGAGTCTAACAATAGAATACAACTTAAGGTTATGATATGTATGGTTCTTGTCGTTGATGATAATCATACTGTCAATCGGAAAGATTTCTCTGCAGAATGAAATTCTGGTGAGTATCAGTGAGTGTTGAAAAATCCTTGACGTAATAAGTGCCGTGAAAAATGAATTTATTTTACGACCTATGAAGTATCATAATGTGGCGAAAGCGACTCCGAATGGATTATAGAAATCACCAGTGTCCACAACAAGCCGCTTTTTCTTCTTCGATTTTCTTTTTTGCACTTATTTGCTTGTTTATATTGCATCGTCAATGTTATATTGTAAGGCATTTATTTAATTTTACATTTTCTTTTCTAAAAATGTGTTTAAAAATTTATTTACCTACTCTTTTGTGTCTTGTACTATACAAATGAATTCATTTCACAGATTACATCTTGCACATGATCGTATTAATTACTTTCTAAACTTTGTTTTCTCACAAGGTACATTTTCTCTTTTTTGTAAGGTGCCAGCAATGCGAAATTCCAGTAAAATTTTTTTCTCGTTTGTTTTACATCATTTCATAGAACAAGAGGTGCTGATTACGAAAGTCCACTTTTTATTTTCAGCAAATGCTTATTTTCAGTCAAAATTTTCAAAATATTCAATTGTATCGTTTTTCTCAAAAAAGCACAACTTTTCCGAAATGTGCCAACTTTTTTGTTTCATCGTTTTGTTCGACATCTGAAAATTAGTTTTTCAGATTCAGCATCAAAAACTGGCTAGAACTAAGGTATTAAATCGACTATAGACCCACAACTCTATTACCCAGGAGAATGAATCCTAACCTAGGATACGATGAGTTCCGATCAGTTCATATTGGAATCCGACCGAGCTCTTCGGAAGGCGCAAGGAAACTATCGGATTATCGTCGAATTCCTGGTTCCGCAATCAACATCGGATCCTAGTATCGGAAACTGACAAAATCCGACATCAATCGTCAACCGGAACAGGAATGCTTCGGATTTCATTGGTTCCGACAATCGGATATCATTGGAAATACGACTGTCGGATCCGACATTAATTCCTCAACCAGAAATCCAACGGGATTTCGTCGGATGGTAGAACCCCATAGAATCCGATGGGATTCGGTATCGGATTGATTCACCTGGGTGGTGGTGGCACTTCGAATAACTTCGGGTGCATTACGTATTGGTCGATATTCTAAACCTTTCTAGTTTTTCTACGTAAACGGTAGAGTGCCATATTTCATCTCATTCTATTCACTATACCTATACCACCCTTCACTACGCTACGGATCTTTCTTTTCTTTTCTTTTCTATTCAGGAATACACATTTTGTGGAAAAAAACAAATTCTTTTATTTAATTCATTTCTTTTCATTTAACAAATAAATAGAAGAAGCAGAAAAGAAACATGATATAATCTTATATTTTAGCTTTTTCTTTTCTTTGAAGCGAAAGAGTAAAAGAAAATTTATTTATTTTTGTTCATTTATTTCAAAGTATTGAAAAAGAAACGAACAAAGAGAAAACAATTCACAGGTCTTATTCGATAGAAAATCGTTGAACACGATGATTACCATAATCGACGACATAGAGATTACCATGCCGATCGAATGACAAACCAAAGGGATACTTGAGCTGATTTGCTTTTTCTCCTTCGCCATTTCCACCCACAATTACAGCGTCTTGTTTCTTGTCTCCTTGAGTCCTTGAGTCCAACGCATTACACGATGATTCCCCTGGACTGCTACATAGAGTGTGCCCAACGTACCAACGAAGATTCCATTAGGATGAGACAATTGTATCAGAGCACTCCCTGAGCATTGTCCTCCAGCAACCACGATGCCTTCTTTTGCCCCTTCTACCCATTTCATTACACGACAATTGTTGCAGTCTGATACGTACACTGAATGATCTCGATCGACAAAGAAATATGTCGGGTAGCTGAGTTGATTGAGTCCACCACCTTTGCCATTACCACCAGCTGCGAGAGTGCCATTCTTCTCACCCAATTGATATCGTCTTACTTCATGTTTTAGGACGTCAGAAGCGTAGAGATATCTTTGCTCATCAATTGCTAATCTCGCACAAGCGATGTTGTCGATGAGTATTTCACCTTGTGTTGTATCACTACGACGAGACCATCGTACAACTCGTCGATTCCATTGATCACAAATAATGAGACTATCCGTCTCTATGTCCATTAATACATCAGTTGGACTAGTCAATTGATGTAATTCATTTCCTATGCCTTTGTCACCAGCAATAGCTTGTCCATTCGCTGTATCACCGTTCTTCCATTGGATGATACGATGATTCTCGTGGTCAGCAATAACCACTGTTTGATCATCATCAACGAAGAGACTATGAGGGCCCCATAGTTGATTTGTATCATCCCCACCCCCGTAACATCCAGCAACAGTCACTCCGTTCTGTTTCCATTTATCATTAGCAGGAATATTAACTAGAAGAGAAAACATAAGAATTAAAGGAGATATCTCTCTTTCTTTATCGCGTTGAAGTGCTAGTATTATTAGAAAAGAACTACTCTTTCTCTCGAGTATAGCTAGTATATGAAATCATTTTGAAAGTTTCGAGCAAAATTCTATAGAAAGAAATTTCTTTTTTATGACGATGATAAGTCAATATGTAAGGAGAAAACTCGAGATAAATGAATGAAAAAGTTATATTAAAAGAATTCTTCAACAGAATTACACTATAAATCACACATATAGCATATCGTTCTATGTCTGAAAGCGTATTTAAATTCTATATTTTGTAGGAACATATAATTACATTATTGTCTTGTGTTAACACAAGGAGACATTAAAAAGCGTGCGATTTTTTAGGTCCTCAACAACACTATTGTATATCTGTTTTCGACACCTCAAACATAGAATGCCGAAAATAAAACGAATAACCGAAGGAAGTCGAAAAATATGATTGATTGCCATCGGTCTGAATAGTAAGTAGATTAAAGAATATAAATAAATTTTCAGTTTCATTTTTGGCTTTTTTTAATACTACCCGAAATGATATTTCTGCAACTCTTCTATTCAAAATAGTTATAATGCCTTTCAATAAGAAAATTAACTACGTAATCAAATTTCTACAAAAAGCAATAGAAATAATTATAAAAATGGGATTGGTTGGTTATAACAAGTATTAATTCACCGTGGCTTTATTCGAAGATCCTTCAATTCAAGAGACAACCAACGAGTTTATTCTACTCAAAACGAAAGAAAAATATCTCAGTTTTAGAATCACAGTCTAATTCTGTGACAGAGATTTTGAGTATTTTCTCTAAACAAAAAATTGATATATCCAATACATGTTTCCATGGAGTGAAGAAAAGGATATCGTCACATTACTAAATTTTTTAAGAAAAAAATAGGTTCAAATAATAGCACTCAATCTCAATCACATCATTTTTCAATTCTTAAATTACTTAAAACATATTTACGCTCGACATTCTCTGAAACACGTCTTAATGATCTAACTTTGGTGTATATTTGTCGAGAGATATGCATGTTAATATTGAGAGTATAATCGATGAATTCGCTAAATTCAATCGTCGATTAGCTTTTTAGATTTATTATGCAATTGTATTTCTAGAAAAGTTGTTTTCTTTTGATAAAATTATAGGCACATTATGAAAAACAAAATAAGCAATTGAAAGAAAACTAATGGGTGGATCGAAAGTTTTGGCACAAAATGTTGTTTCATTTTCGACCTGCTTGAAAATATTTCCGGCGAGTCTAAATCTATGCATTACAACCAGAATTATTTGCTCTTTCGGAATATGAACTTAGAAATTTTGTGTCGGTTTCTGTGTGTGAGTTGTGAAATAATCTTTGAAAGGTATAAACAATTAGTTTGGATAGAATTTTTTTCTATACATTTTTGGATTTTCACTTTTGTGATCCAAAACTAAAAGTTAAAGCCTTGGCTATTATACCAGCTTGTAGAGCAAAACCGACTCTACAAAATGTAGCAGTTGAGTTCTTTTTGCCTTTCGATAAGGCTTCTGAATTTTCATATTTCATAAATCATCATTTTTGAAAAATCGTCTTTTCCATCAAAAAGTGTTTTACATGGAAAAGAGCTCTTGGAAAAACGCCTCTAGTTTTCATTGGGTACAAGCTACAATTTAGTTCGTTATCACATTTTTTCAAAAATGGTTTCCTCTACAAAAGTACAGCGTTCGGCAATTTTTACCATCATCGCAAAGGGATTTATAGGGATCAGCAAAACTTCTTTGCTTGCAGTTCGAACTGATTTTTTAGACTTTTCAAAGATTATTTCACAAGTCTCAAACGAAAACCGACACAATTTCTAAGTTCATATTCAGAAAAAGCACATAATTCTGGTCCTAATGCATAGATTTTGACTGGTCGGAAATATTTCCAAGCAGGTCAAAAATGAACAAACATTTTGTGCCGAACTTTCGATCCATCCGTTATAGCACTCTATAATTTATATATTTTCGAAAATGTTTTTCCTGTATCCGATTATGTCATTTAGAACGCGCCACCTCCTCTCAAAATGCCTGGATCCGCCACTGCGTCACTCATCGGAGTTTCAAGTGATGAACTCAATTTTTCTTTTGTGAAAATTATTCAAAAATAGATTAAAAAATATCTATAATCTATCTTCAACTAAATTATATAAGAGTGATGTTTGTTGAACGTCTAATATTAAACGACCATATTAAGAACAAATATTGCGTTATGAACCTTTGTGAAAATATTTAAATTATTTGTTAAATGAACATGTCAATTTTGTATCCCCAGACACATATAACGTTAGTATACGACTCACAAGAATATTAGACAGCGATATTGCATATGTCGAGTATTTTTATCTTTAAACTTGCTTATCGTATTTTGTCTTTTTCTATGATGAAAATATTTTTAAATCATTAAATTATTTTTTATTACACTCTTTTTGTTCTCTTAATTGGGTGTGTGGGTGTGGGTATTCTATTTTGTCGCTCATTCACCCACACACCCCACACTATCTTGAGGGTGTGGGTGTGGGTGTGGGTGTGGGTATATTAAAGAAGTGTGATGAGTACACCCACACCCACACCCACACCCTAAAGATATGACTGATATTGTTGAGTAATAAGGGTAGTAAAAGAAAGAGTGCATTTGGAAGACCATAGAAATTTCTATCAATATATTAATTAATGGTCATATAGAATAGTTCTGAACATAATAGAGTAGTTGTTTTTAATAGTTTGTCATGTTTCTATAAGTAAATACATGAAAAAAACGTCATCGGTCTCATATTTGCCCGTGAGAAGGTAATAGATTCCCCTTCAAAAGAAAAAGTACCAGTAAATTACGTAAGACAATGTTTTTTCATTTTACTTACTGTTCAAGTATGAAAACATTTCCTGGTAGATTCCACACTTTATGAAACAAATACTTTGGAGAATCTCCTATTAATGAAGTTGTACCTGTTCTTAATACACGTAACGTTAAAAATTTACAAAGACAGTTGACACATACTAAATCAATGGGAATTAATATCTAATAATCCAACTGACCAAAAATGGATATGTTACTATGATTCTCAAACTATAATATGTCATTAGGGTTTCAAAATTATTATTAATATTACAACGACCATCGATATTCAATAAACTTCACGTTAATCTATACAATTGACTGAATATCAAAGAATATAAATAGATTCGGTCAAAATAAAAGTTAAGGAAGCTAGGTACATGAAAACAAGAACTGAAGCATGTATACCAGAATTTTGCTGTATAATTTCTGTTGCTCATTTTATTTCATTTTTTTCCGAAAGTTATTATCTCTTATTTGTAGCATTTATTTATCTTGAGTATTTATTAATCTCGAATGCATATGTATCTGTAGTTTTTTGCGGTTTCTTTAAACTGTTTTAATTGTAAATCTAATTTTTTCTACAGATTATCTCAATTCATTTTATCTGTAGTTTGTTGGTTCTTTTCAAACCCAACTACCTGTTATTTATTCGTAGTATATAGAATTTAGTTTTTTCTTTTGTGCTTTTTTTAATGTTATACTCCAGAGCCCCGATGAGTGTTTCATGTTATTAAATAAATACACGAAACGCGTCGACGAAATCAAACTCTGCATTTATTTTAATTAATTTTTATTGAAACACATTAATTATCGTTAATTTTTGACACAAAAGTTGGTTGCTGAAAAGCAAAGGTTGACACTAGCAGATTGAACTTGTCTTTTCGTTAAGAGATAGGCCAGTCTGTTTTCCATTGATTCTCTCCAATTGTTTTTAAATATTTTGTTCAAAATATTCTGAATCGAACTATAGATACTAAGCCACCTGACAAGACTGATTAAACATCAGTCGAAACGGGTCGTGGTAGCATCTTACACACCCGTCGCCGTCGACAACCCTAATACGATCATTACGCTCAATCTGTTTGTTAGTTTTTGGACAAAACATTTTCTAATCGGTGGGTTGGTCAACGTACGCCGATTGATTGGTCCCCACGATCTCTATGCACTAAAAGATGCTACAACCACAGCAATACGAAGTTTACCAATCAGTACATGTGAGTTTGTAGGTGTTAGCTTCTTGGTCGAAGCTGCTAATAAAAGGTTTTTTGGAATTCAATCCATAAGTGTTTCCTTCTTTTCATTCATTCTGTATTTGTATGCTCTTGGACTACACATATCGATATCGTTCGTATGCTGCATCTTTTGCTTATATCATCTTGTACGTGTAATATAACTATGAGCCCTAACCAATGATCTATAGGATAGAAATTGAAAAAAAAGACTATATTTCCTTACTTTTAGCCCACGCGGTTGTAAATCAACTATCTGATACCTGTCGGTATGTATGTGGAACTGTATATGAGTTGCTGCTACTCGATCCCGCTTCTGTCACAATATTTCATGATAGTACGCGCGCAAATAGAAGAAAAGTTTCAATGCAGTTTATTTAAGAAGGAAAAATAAACGTTCAGTTTCGAGGCTATGGTAGAGAAAAAAGTTGCAGACAACCATTTTCATTATCTACGATATACAGATTTCCACGACGATCAAAGAACAAACCCCTCAGGTATTTGGTGCGGGTGTGGATGTGTTTATGTGTGTCGTTATTGGCGTCACATCGTTCTCCATTACACACCCACAGTTGACTCTGCATAATAGTAATGTGGATCAATGTAAATGAACAAAAGAAAAGCTAGAAAAAATTTACAAGTCAATTTTTTAGAAAAAAAACGTCTTTTTTTCTCTATGAGTTTTCTAAAAAAACCTGTGTAGTTTCCTGCATTCTTATCGGAAAATCAATAAACTCTAGTGCAATCGATAGTACACACTCAGCTCTATCTGACTAAATATAAATAAAAAAATCGACAAATTTGGCCAAGATTAAATTTTTTAGAGGGGTGCCATTAAAGCGAAGGGTGAAGACTGCCCTTGAAAAATAAAAAATAAAACCATCAACTGCATGTACATTAAATTGCAATACACCAAAGTCGTTCTTTTGTGATCTTTTCATCATTTTTATGTCTATTTTCTGTTTAAAATAACCTATGACACACTAGACCAAGCTCAACCACAGTATTCATATGCTTTATACAAAGCAAGACTCAAGCCCACTACTACTCTCACCCTCAAGGAATCAGCATGCTGAATTACCTACAACCCACTAATTTTCCAGGAAAAGCGATTGGACAGTTGGGGCCCTTCCCTCGTAAGCACTTTTATTTTACATTTCGTGTTTGTCTACTTATCGGTTTCGACTAAAAAATGTAGAAAGTCTCATAATTGTATGTACTTATTTGTCACTTATAATCATTTTAATACATATTACCAAAGTTCGCATTACAATAACAAACTATTAATATTTTACGATTATTACTGTAAATCGTAAAATTTAAGTAGGAGATCGGATGCGGAAACAAATGAATATCTTCAAAATATTAGTTGTATATTTGTCTTCTTTTAATAAAATTAGTTCTTCTTGAATTGAGAACTTATAATATTGTAATTCTGACTTTAATAATATTTTATTTGCGCACAGAAAAGTGTAGATAGGGAAACAGAAGTTTAAATGATTATAGAAACACGAAATAATTATTGAATAATCAAATAGCTACAGTAATGATCAATCATAAAATTTAAATAGGGACAGTAGCGACTGTTTGGAAAAAAATCCGAATATTTTCAGAATATGAGCTATGTGCGAGGCTAATATCAATAGAATTCATTCTTTTCAGATAGAGTAGTTTGAATCTTACGATTCTTTGTCTTCAGAAGCCTTTTGCTCAGACATAGAAGATTAAATATTCTTACATAGAAGGTTTGAATAGTATTTACGAAAGATGCAATGGGTGTCGAAATATAAAATAGCTATGTGAGTGATTAATTGGCTACAGCAAAGAATAAATAGATATAGCAACATTTAAGTAGTCATAGAAAATTTTAAACAGCTATGCAAAATATTAAATAGTTGTAGCAACGTAAAACAGCTAGTGAATGATTAATTAGCTACAGTAAACATTAAATAGCTATTTTGTTTTTCAAAATTATCTCTTTTGAGAAGCTACGGTATTTTCTATAATAATTCTCAAAAAGTAAATGATATAAATCGAACAAGGGTGTTCAGCTTTCGATCAATTTCCGATTCGAATAGTTACAATCCAAAAGCAAACTGATGAGTCCCTTTAGCAAGGACGAAGCCGGTCTTCGAATGCTTACAACACATTTTCTTTAAATGATATCTACCAGAGACGTGCATAGGACATAATTTTTTCTCCTGTCCTTGTCTGTCTTGTTACCTACCTTGATCCTGGCGGGCGGCAGGACAGGGCACCACGACAACAGGACTTTCCTGCCCTGCGCACGTCTCTGGTATCTACCTCTCCAAATACAAATCCTTATAAATGCAAAGATTTTCTATTTGGAAATGTGAAGCTTTGCATGATCTGTTTACGATTTTCGGATCGCCCGAACTACTATTCTCCTCTTCAAATCCAGCTGATGAGTGCCTTGAGCAAGGACGAAGCCGGTCTTGAAATGCTTATAACACCCTCACTCCCACCCTCAAGACAAAGGATAGTGGGTGTTATTAATGGGTGGATGAGTGGAAATCTCTCATGTCGGGGCCCTTCTTCATTTTCATGCCGGATAGATCTTAGGCGTCGTATCCAGAAACTAGGTAGGAGTCCGTAGCACACGGTTGGGTCATAAACAGCGTCATCGAGATATCTCTCTCCCATGGGTGATATTGAGGACATGTGACTATTTCACCGTGCATCCGAGTCTTTGCATTCGCTACGACTCCGATCAGGATAGTTCCTAGTCGTACGCGTGAGTAAATTTATTTTATTTTATGATTACGATGACGAAAAAAAAGTTGATAGAGCATTATTCATCACGAGTCTATTGAAGTGAAAAACGTTGGACACGATTATTATCTTCATCGACGACATACATATTACCATGACGATCGAAAGACAAAGCACGAGGAAAACCCAATTGATGTGCTCCACTTCCTTTACCATTTCCACCCACAATAACAGTACCTTCTTTTGCTTCTTTAGGCCAACGTATTACTCGATTATTACCAGAGTCTGCTATATAGAGAGTACCCAATCTATCAACGAAGAGTCCATTAGGACAAGACAATTGTGCTAAAGAGTTTCCTTGTCCTTGTCCTCCAGCAACAACAATTCCTTCTGCTGCACCTTTATTCCATTTCATTACACGATTGTTATAACAATCTGGCACATAAACGGCCTGTTGTCGATCGACAAAGACGTGAGCCGGGGAGTTGAATTGATTGAAGCCATTACCATATCCATTTCCACCAGCTACGAGAGTTCCTTTCTTGTCTCCTATTTGATATCGTCCGACTTCATTTTTTCGATAGTTAGAGACATAAAGATTTTTCTGATCATCCATGGCTAATCCATGACAATCTATGTTGTCTATAAGTATTTCTCCTTGAGCAGTGCCACTTTGACGAGACCATCGTACAACTCGATTATTCCAACAATCGCATATAATGAGACTATTTGTCTCTTTGTCAATTAGCACACCAGTTGGATGATCTATTTGATCCGATCGATTTCCTTTGTCATTACTACCAACTACAACTTGCCCATTCATATCATCTTTCTTCCATTGGACAATATGACTACTCCCCCAGTCAGCAATTACTATTGTTTGATCATCATCAACGAAGAGATCGCAAGGCTTATCGAGACCATGAGCAACAGTGATGCCATTCTGTGACCATGTTGCATCCACAGGAATATCAGGAATATCTAGAAGAAAATAATTTTTATGAATGAAAAATATTCTTTTAAATGTTAAAATAGAAAGACATAATTTCCCTTTTTGTAATTTATAAAGGTGTATAGACTGATTGGGAATGGGTGATTTATTAAGTGAAAGAATATGTCAGAGATGCCCATCGTGGTTGAAAATCGACCGCTACCGCGCCGCAGTGAATTTAGAAATGTTATATCATACTGCTGCCGCGATGATGTAGAGTATTGTATAGAAAGTATGTTTTCTTACAACCAAGTAATATACTTATACATCATTATAGGCGGCGGAACGATTTTAATTAAGAGGAGGCTTACAAATTTTTGAAAAACAGATGTTAGCCTTATGAGAAAAGACTGAAGTTTTTAAAGTTTTTTTTCAAAGCGTTCACTAAGATAAGCTTTGCATGACGTGTTGCGTACATAAAAGCAATAAACTTTACAATTGTTCTAATCAAGAGTAGAGCAAAATAATGACGATTAGCGTTGCAATTTTGAGTCTTTGGACGAATTTTCTGTATCCTCTTTACAATAAGTGAACCAATCGTTTTTAAGGAATCATCCAAATTGACCACTGCGCTTATTATATATTGACTTAAAATCTGATAGTTCCGCAGGAATATAGCACTCATTATGTGTACAACAAGCCAAAGCATGGTTCACTATTGATTCATTTTAATTTTTAATGGTCGTAGATGTAGTGCATATCTCAGTTAATTCTGAAGGTCGAAATTCTAATAAAGGATCTACGGTTTTTGCGTCTTGAGTTAAATCGATAGATGAATTATTTCAACTAATTGCGTAATTGTTCGTATCTTCACGATTTTTTGCTTTTTTTTTATGAAAAAAAGACGTAATTCGATATTACTTGTCAGACATTTATTATCTTTTCGGCTAAAAATACTGTTTATTTTTCATTTAGAAGTTTTTAAAAGATACACGAAGCCGATAAAGTGATTAGTTTCAATGATTAATAAAAATTCTACGATACCATAAACGTTAAAAGCACGTTGACTGTTCCTCTATATCAGGGAATTGCTTGTAACAGCTCAAGTCTAGTAAAAGGTATAAATGTTTCAAACATGTGCATACGTCTACGTGCTATATCTATTATCGAACATTATATTAAACTAGCCGAAATCATGGAATAAGAAATATGCATTGTTTCTTCAATATGCTTTGCCTAACAAATATCGAATCAAAATTATATTCAGAATTTTCTAAAAATATACGAGCCTCTTCAAGCCTTCCTAGCTTCTATTCTGGAGAGGCTCGGGCCTTCTCAGATCTAGTGGCTCAGCCACCTATGTTCATCATATAATTAATAGTCAACACCCCGCTAAATACTTGTTATCCAGTTGTTAGAGATGAGTACAAATGAAATAACCTTTGAACGTATAAAATGGTAATCGCTGCATATAGACGAAGCAGACATGAAAAAACAACATACTGACAGAAAACATCAGCTAATAACATACAAAGACGGTGGAAGTAGAACATATTTTCTTCGAAGGCTAGGCTCTGTTAATTCTAAAAGATCACCGTGCAATAACCTAATGATGACGCTTATTAGACAGTGAAAGAGTAATGAAAATGTATCCCTGGGAAAAAGCAAATTTGAATTAACTAAAATCATGATAGAAAAACAATATGAAGCTTTGCAGGTTTAAAAAAATTATTTTTTAACTTATAAATTATCAACGCTACCACTTCGAACTTTTTAAAAATCTGCTGTTACGGCGCCGTGGCCACCACGGAAGTTGCGGTCGCTGCAGCGCCGCGATAGACATCTCTGGAATATGTATAGAAAAGAAGTTCTTTTGAAATAGTCATATTATCATTTTTGTAGTTAGTAAAATTTAATTATATATGGATACAATCTAGAAGATTTGTAAGTATTAATTGCAGAAAGAACATGTTGTGCATCATGTAATAGGTTGACGAAAAATTTTCCTGATTCCGGTTTACTTTTCTATAAGCATTATCTATCTACTGCCTTCTGAGACAACTGTACATAAAAATATAATATTATCTACTATACTCCGAATAGCGTAGTAGTAATATAAAATGTAGTTTTCCTCCTTTTAACCCCTTTACTTCTTTTACTCCCTTTAGTTGCATTGATTGGCTTAAGATGGCTTCATGAAGTGAGATCAACACCAGTACTCAAGCAGCTGAGCGGTGTAAACAGAGTTAAAGCAGTAAACGGGGGAAAGGGAATAAGTAGTGCATAGATAAAAGTAAATCGGGATAAGAGAAATTTTGGTGGACTCTTCATCATTGTATCTCGTGATAATGTGTAAAAATTGGAATATATTAAAATGTAGACGAGAAAAGAAGAACTTGAAAGTTATTGTTAAAATTTCTCTTTTTTTTTAATCTTACGTTTCAACATAAAAAGAAATTTGAAATACGAAAATAGAAGATTTTGCAAACAGATTTCGTTTTAATCGAACATTTTCAATATAGAACTTGTTTCAATTTTGGTTGTTAGAAGAACAACGACTATGAATTTATTTGAATGAATTAAAGAGGAATTCTTACTTTCACGAAGAAAATAGTGCTTTTCTTTCAGAGTAAAATTTTGTATTTTCGATTTAATTAGAGAATATGATTGAAATGTGTAGCACATGTGTAGAACTCTCTTAGAATATTATATATTATAACATATCGTCGTGATAATAATTCGAGAAGAGAAGAAGAGCTATTTAAAGTTACAATTTTATGAAATTTTTTTATTGATATCTTTAAACATAAAAGAAGATTTTCATTTCTAAGCAGAGAACTAGATAGAAAAAAGTAAATCGGTTCATTTCAAGAGTAATCACTCTTTGTAAATAGAGATCATATTTTTTTCTGAAATAGTTAACAACATAAGAATTAATTAAAAGTTACTAAATTTTTCAAAATCAGTTTATATCAATCGTAATGATTTCTTGAGAAAAAAGAGTTGCTGTATTTAACTGATAATTTATAATAATATCAATGAATGATTAATGAAATTGTATAGTTAATTTACTATTAATGCAATAGTATTAAAGTGAATACTTATATTTATCATAAAATCCATATGAAATATGAGACGATGTATTAGAAATGAAATTGTTTTAAAAAATTCCCACTATTGAAAAATTTCTCAAGCTTTTTAATGAAATACATTTTTATACAAATTGTTTCATTTTTGATTAAAAAAATATTAAAAAGTAAAATATGTAAAACAAAAGATGTAAAGCTTTCTTCAGATATTATTGTTATCTAATCTATCATGTTGACAAACTCACAAGAACTTTTGCTCTTACAAAGAGTAAATAATTTTCAAATAAGAAATTACAAATACTGTACGTTCTATTTTCATGGTTACAAGATGTCACTTAGAACTTTCACGTAAGTCTTTAGACTAGTTTTTAGTGATTCATAAATAATACTATTGGTTAGAAGATTTGTATAACTTATTAAACGAACTAATGTCATCTTTTTTCTAAACTGTCTTTTTCGAGAAGTTAATCATTTAAAAAATCTAAACGATAAAACAATGAACATACAGAACTTGTCAGCATCCAAAACGGGTCCTCGAAGCTGTCTTATAATATCATTATGTAATGTTTTTGAATCATCCATTGATTCCATTAATTTAATAAGATAACCAAGCATTTCATTTTGCTGAACAGAAATGTTTATACGAAGAACATATTTTTAAAGAAGCTTTATTATTACCTGACTCTTTATAGATTCATAACATTTTTCAACGGCTTGAATTCTGTCAAGCGTATCCTTTTGTAAAGCTTTGCTGAAAGTATATAAGAAGAAGTATTAAACTAATATCTATTCTAATAAAATAGACGAATGCTCAGCTTTTTTAAACGGTTTTGATAATACTAATAAATTAAGGAATCATAAAAATTTCAACGAAGATTTTCGTATTTGTTTGTCAAAGCAATTGATTGTAAATTCGATGAAGTGTTTTGAGTAGCAAAAATACTGATGATTAGCCAATGATCGGATCCCACAAAATGAGAATTGTCTAGTCTTACTGACTTTTCTATTATGATTAGAACTTCAAGTATACGCGCAGGAATTTTTCTCACTGTCAAATTATTATACAATATTCTGATTTCTAGGAAGAAGCAATATGAACATATTACTCGATAGTTCATTCCCTCTTTTCAAACGTGGAAGTCAAATTTTTTCTATTGTCTTCTTGGTAAAAATCATCCTGAAAGTTTTCTTAGGTTTTTACTTTTTGAAATCGGCATTTATAAGACATATTTGAATATTGTCTATCTACTTACATTGCTTCATCATCGAACTTAGTTTCGTTTACTACTTGTTTATCTTTTAGTGAAGAAATAGAATAAACTTTAGCACCAAATTTATCTTCGATTTCTTGAAAATTTAGTGAAATTTTTTCATTGAATAAGTATTCTAAACAAAAAGTAAATTCTTTAAATAAGTAGTTCAATCGAATCTTAACTGTAGTTGGTTTGACGAGAATGTTCTTGAAGTTTTTTTTGAAAATATGGTCTTCGACAACATTTTCCCAATATTTGTATAGTTAATTGCCATAGATGAGAGAAAATAATAAGTGGTGGTGGAAGCGATGAACGCGAATAATATTCAGATACTAATAAGTATCGTTGATATTTCCATATACGGTCAGCATCTTCTTGAAGTTTTTCAAATGTATGACTAGATTCAAAGCAAGGCAAAGATATCTTCTTCGTATTTAGAAATCAATTTTATAAAAGCAATAATTGTCATTTCGATGAAGCAGTAATTACACCGATTTTAGGGCCGCTAAAACCTCAACTCATTGTCTTTTGACATTGAACGATGCACAAACCTAATGTGTTTCTCTTAAGATAAAATGAACTCAATATCTATTCATTTAATAAATATTATTATTGAATTTATGTTCAAAATTCGGCAAGTTTTTACAAAAGAAAACAACATATTTACAATACATGACATGAATTCAAATGTATGATTTTCTCGTATGATTCTGTCGCAACGTTATAACATATTAATTAGAATCAACAAAGAGAAAGTGTTTTTATAGTGACTTATATTCAACTGACGTAGCGGTGAATGCTCGAATAGATACACATCATAAACTATTATTTGTAATAAATACCTGAACATAGCAATAAGTAGATTGATCATTAATATGCTAACAAAAGCCATATAAACGACCAATAAAATAAATGCTACGTAACCATTTAGTTTATAATTCTCTTAATATAGGCAAAAAGAAAAAGAATAAACAATGATTTAACAAAAATGAAAAGAAAATCATTAATTATTATCATACTTGTAAATGCTGCTAAAGTACTTAGTTCTCCGAATATTTGCCAATAAGCATGATTTAAAATATCCCGCGGTAAATGCCACGTAAGTTTTTGTAAACCGTGTATTAAACTATATGAAGATATACCAAATGCCAAAATAAATACAATTAGCATTAACATGAAAAATTTTAAATCATTGATCTTGAAAGATTTAATAGAAAATAATAATCACAAAAAGAATTGTTATTTACCATTTCACCAATCATAACAAGTTTTGGTCCAAGTTGTTTTAAAGCAGCAAAAAAACTTAATGAACGTCCAAACCAGAAAATTAAATCAAATGATAGAATAACGCGTGCCATACAAAAGCATTCTGATATGGGAAGGCATCGAAGTGTAAAACCAATAAAAAATAGAATTATCGCCAATGCATCTATTTGATTCCAAAAATCTCTAACATGTATTGTAAGACGAGTTTGCATCGATCGCGTTTGTACTGCAATTAGCTTTAATGTCAATAGGAAAGACAAATAGTCAAAATTAATAGATTTTACAAAAATATAATTACTTGTCGAATTTCTTCGAAAAGCAATGTAACAATCCAGAAAAGAAGTATAAATTCAACGATAGATGGATATTTATGTCGTTGAAATCCATACGGAATTGGTGTATTAGTATTTATTGTGTTTATTGTTAGATTTATATTTAAAGCAGATTGATCATCATTATTATCAGCAGTACTGCTTGTATCATCTTTTGAATCAATTACCGGTGGACAAATATCAGCAGGAAAATCATAGAGTGGAAAGAAGCCGCATAATATGAGATAAGAAAAAAGTAATAAAAATATAATTTGAGAGTACTAAAATTGAAAGAAAAACAATAAATTAATATTTTTCATTAGTTTTGTTAAAATAATTACTATATTGTAAACATATTTAACAAATGGTACATGAAAAAATGTATGAAGATTGGAACAACATCCGCGACGTTTCTTATTTTGAAATTTCTTCCTACAACAACATGATAATAAAACTAATCAATCTTTTTAGTTCATTTATGAAGCGTTAGTATTTTTTCAGTATAGAACACTAACCTTGCTCTATCTTCTTTGTCTTCCTTAGCTACGAGCTGCATGCGACCACTTGTATTCGTTGATGGGCTAGAAAAGTGAGAGTTGGTTTTCTTTTTAGTGACAAGATTCCAATAAATATAAAATAAACATTTTTCTCAGTACTTTTTGTCAAAAGAAATCACTCATAATCAGCTGTTTTCAAGCGATCTCAATTTATCAAGGACCAATCCTACGTTAATAACTTTTGAAGTTTCATATTATCAGTAAAAGAATTCTGCAATAATATGGATTGATTGAAACTTCTTTTGTCAGTTCAAAAAACAATTGTTTTAATGATTTCAAAATATTATATTAAATACCTAAATATTATTTCTTGTTTCTCTGATGCGAGAGAATTACTTGGATCTGACCCATCAGCACGTTGCTATAAATAAAAACAGAAATAATGTTTCAATTATTCATAATGGTTAATCATCATATTATGTACATCACAAGGTATTCCGTCGACATCGTTTGATGGAAGTATTTCATCATAATAAGAAAGAAAAACACCACCCACAATCGTTAATGTAGAAAGGACGATTTTGAAAGGGCGTATTCTTTTATCAATTTTTCCGTACCTAAATATGACATGACTGTTTGCAATTTTTTTTTACGAAAGTTTATTTATAACCAACCAAATTTTTTCTATCACGTCTTGTACTGCTTGTTGAGCAATAAACTGTCTAGCATCAGCTGCGATAGCTATTTCAAACAATGTAGTATTGCCAAACGATGGTATTTTTTGTATAATTGCATTCCTAGATATTTCAGGATTTTCTTCATAGGTGCTTTTAATTATTTGCGAGGCAAAGTTCTCATATTGTTCAGTCAATTCATAGTATCTGTTATGCTTTTTTCTGGTATTTATTTGATCCTCATTTCCTTTTTCATTAGCATAATGCTTGTACCATAATGTAGCAAATAATGCTATACCTAAAAGAATACATTTCCTATAAATATTATCAAAAGATATTTTTACTTACAGACTTTATTTTTAACACGAGACCAAAATAATATTGCGAGTTCATGCCGAGTAGTTATAATTGACCAAAGAAAAAGATCCGTATTAACATCGGGAGGAACACATAGATCTGTTCATGATCAACGAAAACAAATAAACGGATTTAAAAACGTTTTTTCATATATCGTTTTCTTTTCAGTACTCGTATGTTTTTATTATATAATGATTGAAATTCTCAACTTTTAAACTTTATTTATAAACACTTTAGTTATTCAGAAAAGAAAATATCATTTTCACAAGACCTTAAATATGTGATTGTGATCAATTGCTTGATTATATCTATTCAGATATGTAGCATAAATCAAATATTGAAAAAAATAAAAAGCAATTTTCATATATTAATTATATTTTATGTATAAAACTCATGATCTTTTATAATTTATGCACAAAATTTGTGTGAGAATGAACATAATCACCTATGTTTCTTAATAATATTCTTACAAATTATGACTATGAAAATTCAAATGGCTTGCAGTACGTTTATCCAGAAATCAATCAAAGCAGTATTATTTTTTAGAACTTTGCTAATATTTCTTTCATAGATATATCTTTAACTTTTTGATGCCTTAGTTAAGATTTTTGTCCCTAATTATCAATCCATGCATAAAAACCAAGACAAATTCTGTATCGGCAATTTGGAGAGACAAAATCATTATGGGTAAATACTTCACAACTTTCATCCTATATGAGATATTGTCATCTAACTATATAACGGGTGGGCCATAAAGAATTACACTATTTTGTTTTCGCTATAACTCAGTCAATGTTGATGCTATTGGCCAAAGCTTTTTTCCAAAAGAGTCGCCATGGAATTCTCTACAAAATCATATGTAAAAGATTTTTGTAAGCTACGAAACAGCTAAGTTCTAAAACGAAGAGAACACGTTTCGAAAATGTTCAACTTCCAAGCTCAAAACCCATTAATATTTGGAGTACGTTTCGACAATTTATACGCAGGCTTAAATTGCGCGAGAAACATTTTCTAGCATTTTCAAATACGCTTTTTCCGATATCCTTGAAAAGCTTTTCTTTCAAAGTGACCTTCACGTATTAAGTCGATATTTTCCGACAACTCGTCCGAAATGTCTCAATTGGGGTTTTCACGACAGCTAATCGCAAGCAAAACTTTGAATGGCTCGAACGAGTGTGCAGAGATATAGTCTCGTATGTTGAATTTTAAAGAAAAAAAAAACGTCAATAAAGAACGTTTTCTTACTAAATTGCATGCATTTTGGTGCAACCAGCAAAACATGAAATGAAAGTTGAGTCTTTCCGAAAAGGTGAAAAAAATTATCCTGAATTTTTTACACTTTTTTAATCAAGAAAATTTTCAAAGACATGAATCTTGTCTAGAATTTAATGCTCGTGAAGTTGGTCGTCTTAGTTCATTCGTAGCTCTTTCTTAGAAAGTCAATTTGAGAAAAAAAGGTTTTTGAGCTAGAAAGTTGATCATTTTCTAAGCCTGTTCTCTTCGTTTTAGCACTTAGCCGTTTGGCAGTTTACAAAAATCATTTACGTGTGACTTGGTAGAGAATTGAGTGGCGAATCTTTTTGAAAAAAGTTTTAGCCAATAGCATCAAAACTGACTGAGTTATAGCGAAAACAAAGTAGTGTAATTATTTATGGCCCACCCGTTAGTAGATCGCTATATCACTAAAATTCGACAGATCCCAAATCGTAACAACTTATTCAACTTTTTTCTGATACTTTGATGAGTCCATATACGAAAAGAAGTATATTGAAGTGATAGATATATGATTGCTGATTAGGACTATGACAGCTCCAGCTCACGAACCCGGTTCAAACGAACCGATGAACTGTTTGAACAGTTCTTTGGAACTGAACTGAACTGTTCGAACAGTTCAGCGCAGCTCAGATAACTGGCAAGAGCTATCCTATAGGGTACCTTTAGGACTAGGACTACGACAGTTCAGCTCAGTTCGAGAGAGCTGTTTGAACAGTTCACCAGTTCGGAACTGTTGCCGAACTGTTATAGTCGTATTGCTGATACTCGTATAAATATTCATTAATCTCTCAACAGTGAATGTAAAGTATTTTACTTTTTGATGTTTCTGTATCATCATCATCATCGTCATCGCCGTCATCATCGTTCATTGGGAATGGAAAACTTTCGTGATGTGAACTTAAATATTTCTTGGGAAGCAATCTAGTAATATCAAATAGATCTCCTACACATGGTTTAATATGTTCATTGTAAATTTCGAGTAATGAAATTTTAGAAGATTTACAATCACGATCCTGTATTTTGAAATAAAATAGAGAGAATTGTACGTAGAAATTTAGTATTAAGATTAAAAAAAGCAATTAACCTTTTCGATCATTAATTTGTAAAGATCAATAAGTGTACTATTATTATTTTGAAATAATTTAGTAATTGAAAAATTTTTTTCCAGAAATAATTCAACAAATTTGAATTGATTACATATAAGTGCCGATACAAATAATTCGTCTAAACCAGGGTCCTAATATTCAGAACAGTGAACAAAAGTAAAACAAATTCAAAATTACATCATGTTTTTCTTACTCTCCAATCTATATAATTGTCCTTGATATATGTTTTAGCTCCATCAATACAATTAAAATCTAATGCCAAACGAAGTTTTTCACATTCCTGTTCCTTAAGTTTTTTATCAACCCCAGCAGATGTAGCTAGATAAAAGCAAATTATAAAAATGAGCAGTATATTAATTTGTTTATTTTTTTGTACTAACCATTTACCAGCACCCTAAAAATGATGGAGACAAGTTCAGATGCCTTATTCGAATTCGAATTAAGTATATTGATCAATTCATTTTTCTCATGGATGCATCCAAATAATGGGTGGAGTATATATCCATCTGGAACACCCACACTTGAACCAATTGCATTAATTTCAACTCTAAGTTCTTTATGAAGTTTTTCTTGCAAATCGAGAAGATGTTTCTCCCGTTCAGATGTATTAGTACTAAAAAGCATAGAAAAATGAAGACATAATTATCAATGAAACTCATCACAGTATTTATGTCTTTCTTGTGCTAGAAAATGAACTCAATTTTAAATCAGATTTCAGAAACAAAGAAATTTCCAAACGAAACCACTTAGCCATTCTCTCATAACAATAATTATAGAATTGAAATTTACTTCACTATAAAATTTGTTGGACTCATATCAGTTCTCGTTTTAAGAAAAGAAAGCAGAAGTACTGTTTTTCAAGAAATTTTCCAATACAGATGCTAGTAAGACTTTTAGTATTGACACTATTGATACGGGAATTTACTTTGTTAATCGCACTGCAGCCGGTATATACGTATGATAATATTCACGATAAAGACGTAATGCATTAGCAAATAAATTACAACAGTGACCAGTTCCTTCAAGAAAAACGGCTGGAATTTTATATTTAGTCATAGCGTATTTAACTACAGACAAATAAATATCAATTATTCGTTTTTAAATAACTAATTTTCTTTACCCGTTCTAACTGTATTTAGATCACCTCCAACAACAAGAAGAACAACAGGCACATAATCTATATTAGTAAAAAGAAATTAAAATTTAGAAAATTCGATAATATTGTATTAATGTAAGTTTGAAAGAAATAAGAAGGTAGATATGCTTTTTGATCCATTTTTAATCTGGTTGGTAGAATTATTTTTTAGTTTTGTCAAACACGATCTGAAAAGAGCATTGAAGTATATATAGTATATATAGATATTTATATGACCCTCCCCCCTCCCCACAGACCATGGCAAACTGCATAAATTCTATAACACCATAGGTTATTTCAGATGTTTTGAAAAATTATCACAACAGAAACGTCGTGTTTCACACTTTTAATCTCATAGGGATTGCGCTAACAATTTTTTCTTGGAAAAAATTACCTGAAATAACACCTTCAAGATAAGTTCGAGAAACTTTCCAATTATAGTCATCTCTTGCTATATCTTCCACGAATATAAATTTTGCATGATTCGGTTCTAGTACCAGTTCTTTGGATACAATAGGCTCAACAACTCCACCTGATTTTAAAAGACTTGACTTGGAAGCTACATAATCTGGAGTAGGGATGCCCTAAAGTTATTTTTAGAAATTTAGAATTTCTAGTTATATGCAACTTACAATCAATTGTATTCGTCTCGAACGATTTGGATCCCTTTTAATGATTTCAGTAATTCGCTTGCTAATGCCTGTATTTAAGCCATCTGTAATGATCCATATATCTACATAACACCGAGAAATGCATAATATTTGACGATTGATATAAATTTAAGTGATTTTCCAACTGACATATGTAATGATTAATTCATGTTAGGTTTCCATCAGTATAGATTTGATGCAACCATTCCCCTGACAACTATGTTGCTACTAATTTCAGTATCGATAATTTTACTTTCTTGAATCCTGACTTTATATTTTAAAAAACTCTTTCAGAATTTACGTTAAGCATAAATTTAATCATGAATACTATTTACTTTCTTTATATTCTAATCCGAACTGAAACTTATATCAATTGCATTCATTTATAAGAAGAAACTAATAGTCGAATGATAGACGCTGATTACAAACCTCGCTGGTGACCAGCAAGTAAAATACGAAGACGTTGACGAGATTACTAATTGAAACAATTCCTAACTCAGATAATAATTCATATGTTTGTTAATAAATTCATTACTTGAAAAAATTCTTAAATGTTTTATCGTTTTGAGATCAAAAATAAAAATGAAGAAACTGGATTAGATGAAAAAGGACAAATATCGATTAATTTATATTACGGACACTAGTCGATTATATTATACCTCTGTTTTCAGCGAGTTGATAAAGTGCATTTCGAAGTTCTCTTTTTAGTTCATCATTCATGTTACGATCTTCTTCACCACAAATTACCGATATGACAAGTAATGGTGGATTCTAAATTAGAAAAGCTTTTAAAACAAAAATAATAGTAAATAACATACTGAAGAAAACCAGTTTTGAAAGAGATCTTTCTTTATTTCTTGTATATCACTGAGATTACCAGTAGCCGGTATGTAAATGTAATCTGCCTTATTATTTTTACTATCAGGAACTAAAAAATAGGAGAAATAATTATAAAGATTAGTCAAGCAGCTTTTTTACTAAATTGTGTTTTCTCATACATTTTATTTTTCCATCTACTTTTATCCCCATGTTTTGGAGAATTTTTTGCCCTCTCTCAGCTGTAGAATTTGCTCCATCAGTTGTTGGAAGTTGGTCATAATCTGAGTCTTCAGAAACTTCGTTTCTTTTTTTAGCTGTAAGATCTGCCATACTAAATATGAATTTGTGCCGTGAGAATTATTTTCACTAACTAATCTGAAATTAAGAGATATAACATTTAAAAAATGATCAAAATAGTACAATTCCATTTTAATTTATTTGATACATAATTATCCTTGTAATGTTTGACTTGAAACGATGTAAGTCTCTTAGTGACTTTTAAGATGAAACTCAATACTGATCATAAGTCCACTGAAGAAAGTGTAGGAGTTTCAAATATTTCAAGCATCTGTATGTCGATGTGCTTGATATTTTCAAAAGTTGAGAAGTTTATGAAATTTCTATAATTTCTTAGTTCTTCAACAGTTTTCCAGGTTTTTGGTTTACATTGTTATCTAACCATCGTTCTGATAATTGTTTCGTTCATTTTCTTTATCAAGAATTCAAGCCTATGTGAGAAGTTTCGATAACTCTGGAATCTTACTGAATTCGAATTTTGTTGCAAGTGCCCAATATTACATTAAGTGAATCGATCTCATTTAAAGATGTAATACAAACTATTTGGTCATTGTAGAAAAATTTAATTCATACAGGATCTTATGACACTACTTTACTAAGACGTTTATATCTTTTAGCTACACCTATAAGAGAGTTAAGGATAAGATAGAGAAATATTCTAGAAATAGAATGAAAAATGATTATTTATGGAGATGAAAAATACCTAAACGTTGTTATATATCCAAGAATTTTATTTTTATTTTTAAAGCAAATAATCTATTATGAAAAAGATGACAGATACGTCGCGAAATTATTAATGTAAAACAAAAGATTGAAACTTAACTATTAATTGGGAATTAAAAATTGCCAGGATTAGGTTAGACTTCTGATCTTACCAGAAAAGCAATATTTTTCGAATAGAGTGCACTTATTTCGAAGAAAGAATATCAAAGATGATTTACGCGGTATCACGATGAAATCAAGAATACGAGCTGAAGTGCGAAGCATTAGGACTAATTATATGAAATAATTGAAATTTCGAAAAGAAAAGACTATTCAGTGTGCCACAGATTCATGACAAGACTGTTAGAGAGTTTGGAATGATATCAGATCTAATAAAATCACTTACAGCCAATGTTCCTAATGAGAACAGATGTTGTAGAGTATTTTATAATTTAATTTCTAATTCAGTAAATTTAAATTTAAATAAAATAGATTTTTTTATTTTTTTTGAATAGAAAAATGTTGTCTGTATCAAATGGTACAAAAATCACTTTTCTATCTTCGAAACTCATTTAGTCATAAGTAGTAGAATCTAAGAGATTGAATTTGTTCTTAGTAGGAACCCCAAGCTAAAAATTGTTCCTAACTCCAACCACAAGTGAAAAACATGCTAAATTTTTAAAAAGTTACTAAAAGCACTTATTCACTATCAAAACTTTTGAAACCTTGAATGAAACAAAATGTCGATTGATTCTCACGGAGTTTTAATCCAGCAATTCAAAGTTTTTCAAATAATATCAACTGAGATATTAAATCTAGAAAGAATAATAATCTTTTTGAATTAGGACCGTTTCTTTTACTAACAACAACGAGCGAAAAAATGTTTCTAATTCGAATAAATCCATAAAATAGATAGAAAAAAAATCTTTTTTTAATAAATCAACTCTTTTCATGTTTTAACTTCAAAATTCCCTTTTGCATTCGCTAGAAGAACTGTTAGTTTAGACATTTCACATAAAGATCCAGCGGTTCAGTTTAATCGTACATTATCCAACAAAGATAGTGAGAGATAGTGGTTCAACCAATTTTTTTGACTAACTGTATCAAAACTATCAACTTTAGACTATCAAACATTAATGAAACTTGGCGAAAATTTAATTTGACCCAAAAATTGTGAATGTTAAAATTATTTTTTATCTCAGCGTCTAAAAAAATGATTTTTCAAACAAGAACAACCATAGTTCTTTTTTGGCTTTATTTTAAATGGGACTTTTTTTGAGCTCCACCATCATCTACAACGCATTTCATTGCATAGATTTCATTTCTCGTTAAGAAAAAGGAATCCATCGCGAAGATGTTGATTTTGAAAATATTGGAATTTTGTTTAGTTTTGAAAAATAAAGACAACAAACCTTCGCAACGCATTAGTCGTCGTTAACGAAAATTGAAACCTATGCAATGAAATGCGTTGCAGATGATGGGTGTGGGTGTGTAATGGAGAACGATGTGACGCCAATAAGGACACCCAAACCCACACCCTTATATAGAATAAGTGCTCAATGAATAAATAAGTATCTCATAAGTTTTGGTAGCTCACAACCAACTCGTTATCGTGGCTCCCATGTATAATCCAAAAATGAATATCTATACCTACGCCAATATCTTACAAAAGCAGAAAAAAAAACTTAAATTTCGAATTGTTCGTGTCCGTGCTCTCCATTCATTTGTTGTAGACAAAAGCAACATTCTCTGATTGCCAAGATACATGAAAACTACTGTTACAATCTTCATCTCTGGCATCAACTACGAATACAGAGGAATATATATATATAGGGACGGAGAAAGATTCTGAGTGGGAAAAAATTTTAAAAAAAACTTTGAGTTATTCATACTTATGCTGACTCTGAATTCATGATATGAAGGGACTCTCAATACTTCTCGCTGAAAAAATCGTTAATTGCGTACGCTGAAATTCTCGAGTTTCATTAGCAAACACAAATGAAAAACATAATTCAAGAATTTATATAAATAGGCGACCAAGTAAATACATAAATCCCAGTAGATTCATGGTCGTATCTACGATTACCCTCAATACTCAATAAAAAAAATAAAAACTGCTTGTGCAACCATTACCTGGCATCTCAATCGTAGGCATGTAGAATGAATGAATAAACATTCTATAATGGAAGTAAATGAAAAAAAAGAATGAAATGAGATTTTTTTTTAATAATCATACCCATTCCAAACTTGAGGGTGTGGGTGTGTGGGTGTGTGGGTGTGTGGGTGTGTGGGTGTGTGGGCGTCTGGGTGTCTGGGTGTCTGGGTGTGGGTGTGAGTGTGGGTGCGGGTGTTGGTGTGAGACTTGCATGCGGAATACAGACACCCACATCCAACATATTAACGCTAAAAGAAGATTAAAACGCGTTCTTCTAGCCTAACTGGTTAGGACATCTGCTCGGATAGCAGAAGGCGTGGGTTCGAATCCCACGAAGTTCACTTAATTTTTTCCTTCGCCACATATAACACGGCTTGTCATTTACGTTCTATTCACATGAGAGCTTACGAAACGCTGTACAAACCAAACAATATTTAGTTGCTTCATTTTTATTTAGATGAATCCCCGTGTTAACGTATTTTCCTACGGCAAATAATAGATCTTATTTTTGCATGTCAAAATGAGATTGATTTTTCACCAGACAGACAAGATTCAAAGGGTATGCTTTATCATATTTTTAAATTCTTCGAAAGTTTAAAGCGCTTGTCTATTTGTGGACCACTTTCATACCTTTAAAACTTAGTATTTCATATTTGACTACTTTGTTCCTCTTCACATTTTTACAAGTTATGTGTTATTATCATTATTGATGATTATGATTATGATTAATCAGTTGTTCAAAATATTGTGAGTTTATCAATTATGTTTGTTTGAATTGAATCAATACTATTATACATTGTTAGGTGTGAATAAAGAAAAGAACCGATCCCACCACACTGATTATTCATCAGAACTTTTCTTGTTGTATGATCAATCGTAGTACATTAATTTATTTTCTAGAATGATTTACCGAATTTCAGGTGTTTCTCATTAAATTCGGTGTGAATTGAATCATCTAGTTCATTATTGATCGATCGATGATACTCAACGAACTTTTAATAATATAGGATATCAACACGCTTGGTGTATTTTTTACTAGTCATTTTTTTTTCTTTTTAATTTCGCTCTTGTATTGTTACACTCGGAAGTGCTTACAAGAGTTGCCGTAAGAATTTACAGCTGTTTGATTATCACGGCAAAGAACTATTAAATATGCAGAAGAGAGAACAATACAATCATAAGATGCCATGCTTGCTAGATAGAGTTGGATGTATAGAATTATACATGTAAATAACCCGAAAAGGAAAAATAAAATAAGAATAAATTAAAGGAGAAAATGAGAATAAAAGAAAGAAAAAAAAACAAAAAGAAAAGGAAACGAAAAAGAAAAGAAAAAATAGGAACGCGCTAAAAGAGCGAGAGGTAGAATGCACGAAACATTAAACAAAAACAAAGAAAGAACACATGGCGGATTTCATTCAACTAAAAATTCAAGCCATTTCAGAAGCAGCGATTGATGTCTGTCACGTTTGCGTCTGACTCGCTTCATTCGAAAGAAATGACCTAAGTGATCATTCTTATTTTTATGGAATGAATCCCCATGTTGCGAATACCGGATCATTTTTTGCGGTAAACCGCGGTATTTATTCGTTCTGCGGTAATGGGAGCCGGTAACCGGACCGGTAAAACCGCGGTAAACCGGCGGTTTTTTGCTCATGTTTATCACATGTAAAAGTAAAAAAAAGGATGATTAAAATAGTTTAATTGGTGATTTGGAAGACTTTTTCTGTCAAAAATTATAGACGAACCGGTTAACCGCTTTTTTTTAAGCGGTAACCGCGGTATTAATCAAAACCGGCGGTTTACCGCGGTAAATGTCGGATCATTTTTTGCGGTAAACCACGGTATTTATCCGTTCTGCGGTAATGGGAGCCGGTAACCGAACCGGTAAAACCGCGGTTAACCGCCGATTTTCATGCGGTTTTTATTACATGGGTCCCAACAAAATATATCATTGTAGAAGGGCGAGCGACTTAAATCTGATTTTTCAATTCGTTCTAATATTTTCTTTATATATCGTTTTACATAGTCTTCTAAAGAATCTTCTTTTGTTATTTGTAGAATGTTTGTTGCTCGAGCAAAGGGACGGCGATGAACTAGTCTTAATCCGTTTCTAAACTTTCTTAACAACAACTCTTTTTGGATTTTCGGTAGGAATGGATACAGTGGAAACATCCAGGCAAAATACGGAAAACTGTACGCAAAGAAACATTTTCTCAAAACGTCTGTTGAGACAGTTTTACCACCTTTCATCCATCTTAACTTACTGAATGTTCTTTGAATATTCTCAAGAGTTTTATCAATTGTTGGTTTTAAGGACATCTTATTCGTCCAGGCGAAGCCTAGATACTTAAACTCTTTAACTACTTCTAATTTCTTGCCATTCATAAAAACATTGATTATTGGATTTTGCACTTGTGTGTGAAAAATCTGTGCTACTGTTTTAGATACATTAACTGGTTGTTTCCATTTTTTCGAATAGTTCGCTATTTGGCTACAAATTTTAGTTCCTTCCTCTTCTAGAAACTTAATCATTGACTTTATATCACGGCATATTGGCGGAGATATGAGTATGTTGAGATCATTCTCAACTATGTGGCTAGAATGAGCACTTACACATGCAACTAGGTCACAATGATAGACAATAAACAGATATGAACTTAAACTACTACCTTGAGGCAGACCGACATAAGTGTAAAATATATCCGACTTGCTTTCTCCAAATAAAACATATGCACGTCGATCATTTAACCACGATACAATTAATTTTAATAGTCCTAAAGGAATACTGAGTCTGTTGAGTTTTACGATAAGACCTTTATGCCACACTTTATCGTAGGCCTTTTGATAGTCTACATAAATTGCTAGCGTTGGAATATTAGCTGTCATATTGTTTTTGACTTCTTGATATATAGATATAACTCTGGTAGGAAGAAGACAACCTGGACGAAATCTCGACTGTTCGATTGGAACTAAACTATTAGTTTCAGCCCATAGTCTTATTCTTTCTAGCATAATTTTCTCAAAAAGCTTGGAATGTGTTGCTAAAAGTGATATTGGTCGTGTTTGATCACAACGAGGTACTCCTGCTTTTAGTTTATTCAATGTAATTATTTTAGCTAATTTCCAAACATCTGGATACCTATATTCTTTTAACCAAGTATTAAAGCAATTTGCTAGACAATTAATATAGCCTGGTGGAATTATTTTGATCATATAATTCGACACTGCATCGAATCCTCATGATTTTTTTGGTTTCAACTTCGATATGTGTTTCTTTATTTCATCAATGTTTGTCATTTCGACCTTATCATTAGCCAATGCTAATTTATTCATCAGTTCTAAATACTCTATATCAATCTGAAATTCATACGGATCTGACATATCAGTATTTGGAGGTTGGAACTGTTCTGAGTAGTAATGATAAAGTTCGTCCTTGATTTCATTCTCCTTCGTTAATACTCTTGTTCCGGTATTTAGTTTCGAAAACGGTAATGATCTATGTTTATATATTCGCGAGAGATAAAGCCAAAACGCTTGCTCCTTATTGTCATTTGTTTCTTGAATTTTTGACAGAAACTCTCGCCATTTACTCGTCTTATATTTTGCAATTTCAATTTTTACTTCACGTGTTAACACCCGCAGTAGCACTCTTGTTTCTTCATTTATAACGCATATTTTTCTCTCTCGATAATATTTATTTCTGTCTCGTTTCACTTCTTGCAGCTTCTGAATAAGATAAGGAGGTAGAGCTGGTCGGAATTTTTCTTTTTCTTTCCATTGCGTCAGTCTGTTTTTTAAAGCAGCAAGAAAGCGCACATAATTCATATACCAATCATCCACTGGCATCCCTCTAATCTGCTCCTTTTGCCAAAATTCTTGTAACAACGTAAGAATGGCTTTATATGCCTTCCAGTGTGCGTGGGGGAAAATACTATTCTTATCAAATACTAAATTCTCGCAAGTTATCATTATTGGTCAGTGATCACTGGTACCCATCTTTAGAGTCTCTCCCTTTGTTCCTCCTAAATTTGTAAATGTTAAATCAATGTTTCTATTCGAACGTTTTGAAGAATTTGATAATGAGGGAATGTAACAAAGATTGTTTTTTTCCACCCATTCTTTCAAAATTCTTTCTCTTTTATCTGCCGACGTGCTACCCCATTCTTTTACGGATGCATTGAAATCACCAGTTATGATTGTATTTTTAGTGATATATGACTCTAATTCTCCTAAAACTCTTGTTTGGCCTGCTGGCCAGTAAATAGCAATTATTCTAACTGTTTCAGAGAGGCCATCGACATCGACAATAATTGTATTTTCAATATTTAAGTCTATTCTTGAACCTTTTAAATGTTTTCCTATAGCTATACATACACTACCGCTTTTATTAGTTCCGTGTTGATGAAAAATATTAAAATGAGGTATTTGAGATGTATTCCATAACTCTCCGACTTCCGTAGATACACATATTGATGCTTCTATTTTATAAACAATATCGATTACTTCTAAACTTCTGGACCCCCGTCCTTGTACGTTCTACTTTTTTCTGAGTTTTGCTTTCCCACTGTGTGAGGATATTATCTAGGGTGCCAGCTGTGAACCATTCTGAAAGAACTTCGTCTACTACTTTCTGATCATTTACATGGAACCCCCATTGATACAACTGATTCATCGCTATCTCTTTAGGATTAAAAGTTCGAGAGGGAAAAAAGGATTTAGCATCTATTCGTAATTTTGAAAATGTGGTACTCATCTATCGGCTCATATTTTGATCAGTTTCATTATTCGGCGTGATGTTAGATGCACTCGACGTTGGTTGCGATGGAGAGAGTTGTGGCAGTGGAGATGAACTATGTTTTCGTCGAGCCGTGTAATCCGTTTTCAAATAATTTAATTGAGAGTTAAAATTGCTATAAATTTTTTGTAATTGATCCTGTTTATTTCTCAATCCTGCAACATCGTTTAACATCATCGGCCAGATAAATTTATCGACTAATGATGCGAGTGTAGGTAGTAATTTCATTAGTATTTCATTATGCAGCTTAACATCTAGAGATGTACGATTTACCTTCTCGTCAATGCAATCTAATTTTTCATCAATACGCCGAGTATTATCTTTCATATCCAGAATGTTTTGATTTATCGAGAGCAGTAATTTCGTTGTATCTTCGATTCCATTTATATTATTTGTTACTGCTGATGGTACTGAAGTTTGTTTCCATGGAGTAGTGCAAGACATTAGTGATGGCAGTGACGGGAATTCATTTTGCTTCAGCCGAAATTCCGTTGGTTGAACATGATCTTGGGGCATTAAACGTTGTAGTTTGCCTGCTGATAATGCATGTTCAACTTGCTCTTTTAGATTTGATCGATATTCAACTACTTTTTCACATTCACTAGATAACGAATGATGCTCTCCATCACACTGAGCACATCGGACTGTATTCGAACATACATGTGTTTGACCGTTTATAAGATTAACAAGACATATTCGACAACGTGAATATTCTCCGTTACATTTATCTCTCATATGACCTAAACACCAGCAACGAGTACAATAAGTCATTCAATTACCAGTCAGGAATGGTGTAATGGTGCAAAATGTATTTCCAATCGATATCCGACCTAATTTTAAAGTTGAATTATATCCATCCAAATCTTTAATAACGAAACGAGAATCGTTTGTTCTTCTTTGGAAACGATACTGAATTTGTCTGATATTTTCGACTGATTGAAGATTTCGTTTAATTTCTTCCTTGACAAACTCGTCATCGTACTGAAGAGGTACATATCGAACCACAAGCGCAAAGGAATCCGGAGTAAATTTTGGCTTACTCATGGTGATGTTGATATTATTGACTTGTGACGGCCATTTATCCGTATTTATTAATGTTGCATACGATTCTTTGTTGTTAACTTCTAATTTTAATTTATTACCTGCATGGCCGACTAGTGAAAACGATATTGCGATTCCTTGTTGTTTGAAATAGTCTTCAATTACACGTGCTGCTGATATATCCGATGGTCTATTCTTTGAGTTTTCTGCTTATTCGTATTCAATAAAAAAAAGCATGGAAGATTGCTTGAAACAGCACGTTTTAACTGTTCAAAAGGAATTCGATGTTGTTGTTGTACTGATGCTTGTTGTCGAGGGTGGTTCAATTGAATATTATTGTTCATTTGGTGTACAGGGCTTGGAACCTTCGAAAAATTCATTTCACGAGTCTTTTTTTGTTTACCATTCGATAGAACCCGTTGTTGTTTTGAAATCTGTGCACCATCATTGTCACTTGAATCTAAATTTCGTTTAGGCGTTTGAGGAGTTGATGATTGAGCTGGAGCATTTATACGGTGAGGATGAGTATGATGAGTAAGATGTTCATGAACACCAAACGCGACATTGGGATTTTGCCGAATGAAAGCGATCATTTCTTGAAGATTATAGGTACCTGACGCTTCAAAAGCACTAACAGTTGTTTGTTGATTACTTTTTGGCATTTTGTTAAATGATATATTACTTAGCTTCAGATTAGTTGATGATGAACCTTTCTTATTGTCACGAAAATTATCGTTAATTCCTCTCCTCATTCACAAGATGAGGAGGAGGATGATTATGATGTCAGAGAAGAATGCAAGCAAGCGCTCGTGCCCCTACTCTGGAGAGAAGAAAGGATGAAAGTGAGAGAAACGAATTCTCAACTAGCTCTATTAGGTTTTCGAGAGATCAAGATTTCTAAAAAGAGTGGGGTTTTGGAAATATTCACTACACTTGAAACTTGAGGATGTACATCGATAGGTCACACATTTGTCTATCGAACAAAATAAACTCGACATTTTTATGACTTTCTAATGAAAACTTGAGCTCATGTAACGAAAGTTCTATCTTGGATGTGAAATTATAACATTAGTATCTTAAAAATGCTGATACTTTTATATTAGAGTTAAAAAAATAACTTGATGTTTTTGTATCCAACAGAAACAGGCTTTGATGAAACAGCATTTCAACGCAAACTTTTAGAAGAAAGCGCGATTTTGCCATTTTAACGCATCGTTTTCTCTCTGTAATGCACCCAAACGCATGATTTTGTGTATGTAATGCATTTATATCATTTAATTTTCTCTGCTTCTCAGTAATTATTTTTCTTGTAGACACTGTAATACCGATTCTAATGTAGCTTTTTTTAAAATTATACAAGGTGTGCGTAAAACTCGAATGTTCTTTCTTTTTCGCCTGTTAATTGAAATATTTATAGTTCATTTCTACTGAAAATCTTTCATGAGGGCTTCATTACACGAAAATGCAACTGAATGAGTCGCTAATTATCTACTATATCGAAAATCACAACATTGAAACAACTGAAAGAGAAAAAAACTGAAAAGGTTATAATTAATATTGTGAAAATATTAGGATTGATTCCTCTATTTAATAAAATTATTAGCCCGGAAAATAAGATTTAAAAAACAATTTGAAACTTTTTAGTATAGACTTTTTAATTTAATTTAGATGAATGACAATTCTCGTAAGTTAAATTTACTTTGAGCTGAAATTGAATAAATTAAAAATGCATGCATCCTTCAATTCAATATTTATATATAAACATTCTATTTCTATATTGATAACAGATAATCTGGCTCGATAGGGGAGACCGGAATTTCGACCCGGCCAGAAAATTCTCCGGACTTTCGGACCAATTTTATACAAATTCATTTAACCCTGGAAAAAAACGTAAAATTTTGAAAATTGGTTTCTAGATTTTTTGTGCCGAGCGAAACGGCGTAATGCCGAGCAAAGAGGCGTTTTTCATTCCATAGAAGAAAAACTAGTTGAAATAAAAAAAGCGAATTTATACCTAACATACATCTCAACGAATTTCGAAAAATATACCAGCAATAGTGAATTATACATCTAAAATAAAACTAAAAAATGTGCATCCTTAAGTCAATATTGAGATTACACTAGATTCGTTCGTGCTTGTTGTGGATAGACGATATGTATCTTAAAACGCCATACTATGTTCTATAATAATAGAAGTGCTGTTTTAAACACTATATTACTTCGCTCTATACTAAAAAAATCTAGAAACCAATTTTCAAAAAAATTCGTTTCTTTTTTCAGAGTTTAATGAATTTGTATAAAATTGGTCTGAAAGTCCAGCCCGAAAATTCCGTGGGCCGCAATTCATGTAACCCAGTTTTGAAGGACGTGGGTTCTTATAGCTCACCTTTCACTGGCAAACTCATTCTCTTTTATAAAAGCTTTTGCATAATGAAATCTAATTAGATACATCCACCTTCACCCCCATCCTTTCTTTTTAGCTAGGTACTGTTTCCTATGCATTATGTTTTGAAGTGCAAGTCGTGTTTAGAATAAAAAATACATGATATCTTTTAAATTTTCCAAACAATTGGATTTTGTATTCGCATCACAAACTGACACTGTGATGCGAATATATTGCGCTCATTCGATCTGCTAATGAAGAACAGTACAGATACTGCTCAGATAAATGCCAATGAAAGATAACCTTTTATACTCAAGATGAAAATTCTCTCAGCCAAAGAGATGCTTCACTATTAATTTCTATTGAATTAGCTTCGAATAATCGAGTCAGAACGTTTCTAGAATATAATACAATACTTATTGATATTTATTTTGTAACTAATAACAAAACAATAATGATCAATGGTTATTTAATGCAATGAAAGTGTCCTTCTTTTTGAAGGAATCACTATAATAGCAACCATCAACATACATATGTTTACTCTGAGACTATAATAAGGATTCTCGAAAATTTTTATTATGACAAACAAATACTTCATCTATGAAGAGAAAAACATATAAAATAGTATGACTAATTTGATTGTAAGAGGAGATTGAAATCACGATGGTGATCAATCATCAATGTACGATTCACATTCTAAACGATCAATAATATCATTAATCAAAAATAAGAACTCACTGAAAAATAGTCGACATCATTGATGATTAGCTGTTGAATTCGATCGTTTTACTTTGATTGGAATTTCTACGGGGATGGATATTAGTAGAATTTTCTCTGTCATTCATCAATCGACAGCTACTACTGAGTGTTTTTGTATAATAGAAACTATAAACACATCTAGCTAGGATGATATTTGTGATGATTGGCTCAATAATGCGTGAGGCAAAATCACTAACTATTCTCGTAAAGTGGTAATGGAATACAAAAGTAGAGCGTGCGGATATTCAATACGACTTTCGTATAGTTGAATACGAGCGAAGTCATTGTATCATGTAGATAGAAGATGACTCAAAAATTGATCGACTTGCGTTGAATGAAATAAAAAATAAGATCTTTATTTGATTTGTTTTTTTCGACTAATTAATCGCTTGCTATCAACATATTGTCGAAAAGAAATTGAATTTTTCCAATTTTATTCAAAAACCAGGATTTTCCCATTCCAACATTCTAGTCACTTTGTAGTATATTGGGTGCTATATAAGATGTTAGGAAAGCACTTTGATTCGATGGCTTTTGTCTATACGCTACCATCACATGGCCGATATAATGAGCTCATTGTTCTAATGGATTGCAAGTTGTACTGATAGGTGGCCTAAGCTTCGTTGTTGTAATAAGCAGGGCCCAAGTATTCGTGCAATTGGGTTGCCTTTATCGATCACATTTGCCACTAATGCGATGCCAATAGGTCTAGTTTGACATACATTTACACGTCTTCAGAATACTTCTGGTCTTGCTTTAATTACCGGTGACCCTGATGGTGTCTCTTATTATGCCCTTGCTCGTCTTTATCAATGATCATTTCGTTCATTCATTTCGCTCGCTCCTGGAGTTAGCTTGTCAACCACACGCACCTATCATGCAGCTATCTATTTGCCGTATCCTATCAACTAAATATTGAGCGCCGGTGAAAGTACTAACACTGTTTTATATCGGAATACATTAGCGCCCTTGGACGTTGATACTATTCAGTTTGTTCCAATTACAACAAGTATGGCATCTCTTTGCGCATGACATAAATTCGCACTATTATCCAATGGAAAATGTTTGATTATTAGAGAGTACAATGGTGTTGCATCAAAGCGTAGATGTGAAATCATCGATCCAGTGAACAATTTCGTCATGATGCCAACCGTCAATCATAACGTAGATAGATACCATTATACATCCGTGTCGCCCTTGAACAATTTTCACTTCTATAGATTTACTTAAATAGCGTCCTATAGTTTGAAAAAGATCGGATATATTAAAGACATAGAATTGTATTTTCATTCGAATGTAGATCAAAATCGTCTGTTAACTTAATGTAATTTATTAATTTCTAAAAAGTAAATTCGTTCGTATGATTATATTTGTTTACGAACAATATTGAAGTAATAATCATCTGAAACAAACTCTCTTTTTATTTCGTCACTTTCGATCGTATTTCTTTTATTTTCTTTCACGGGCACCTTATTTTCTATTTGCATTGAATTGTTATCGTAATTTTGTATAACATTATTATGTTTGTAATCATTGATTAAATAAAAAAAAAGAAAGTGCTGTGTGATATGTCTACTATATTTATAATTAGCTTTCGAACTAATATTTTATGCATATGGTCACTGAGTAAATTCGGGAGTAGATGCACGTGAATTACAGGATAAGCATGCAAGAAGATGCTAATTTCACTCACATCCATAGATGTGCCTTAAAACAACGTCTATATCGAACGCAACTTGCACGCTCGTATACATCTAAGTTTTCACAATTTTGTTTCTATGCGAATTGTATTATGAATAAAACATAATTTATTATTTTTTCTTTTTAGTAAATGATGCATGCATTCGGAATAAATTATAAATTTTCATTATGCAAATCGATGGAATATAGACACAAATCTACACAGTCACTATTGTAGCATAATTCAATGAAGTCGGTAGAGAGTAAAATTTAGACAATGGTGCGGATACGGGTATTAAACTACAAACGCATTGTTAGAAGTGCTGCATACTGTTTCTACCTTAGGTTTTTTTTATTATAAATTACGCCTCTATCCAATTTGAGTTTAAGTGATGCCAATACTTGAATATAGTGTGACAGTATTGGGAAATATCTCTTGATCGACGGCAACTGGTCTGTTTGATCAGATCTGCGTCGAATCTCAAGTTCTTTTTAGTGACAACATTGAAGAGAATTTTCAAATAGTCAGATGTTTCGTAATGCCATTAGCATGTAAATTCAAATAAGAGACATATGTGCTAGCGCAATATGATGCATTGATTTCTTAAGAGATAGTCGATTTATCTAATTAGATCTGCTTATACAGAGTATTTAAGTGGCAATACTTCTCGACGCTCCGTATGTAGATGTTGCATCAGAATGAACTATTTTATTTTCAAGAGCATACAATGAGACTATCATATAGATTCTTGCATTTTTTATTCCAGCAAATAAATATTTTGTATACGAAGAAAGCAGCACATGAAATTATACGTCTGATTTAATAGGAATAGAAGATCAACAGAATCATGATGATAAGCACAATAACGTCCAAGCGTCATGATTTTGATGGATCATCTGTGCCTGGTTCGAGTTTTAAAGAATTATCGTTGTCGTCTGTGAAAGTAAAAAGTCCAATGAAAACAATTCGTAATCGTCGATGGTTGGTTGCTGTAGTTGGTCTTCTTGCGTCGACTGCACTTATTGTGACAGTGGGTTCTGTTGTAATTTTATTTGCTATTCATCCATCAACAACAACGTCAAATACTAGTGAGTTTTACTGTTTGACAAACACTATCAAAGATTTTTTAGTATTCATAATATGAAAAATATTTCGCTATTATCCTTGAATTTTTCAACATCTTATTATACACTCACTTTTTTTCTAGTAACTACGCATGTGAAGGGATCTACCAGATCACTGAAAACTTTCTGCAGTGTTCCGATTTCCAACTTGAGTTGTACAGTCATTTAATCATAGTTTTTCACTCTAAAAAGCATTAAGAAAATGAAGACATTACAGATTCTAAGAAAGTCTCTTATTGTATCTATGCGATTAAGATAATAGAGTATCCTAAATAATACATACATACAGATTGTGTGATAAACTCCTGATATCCGGCTTAATATGTGTATGCGTATATTTATGAAGCTAGTACAACAACATCGACAACGACCACAGCGATGAGTGGGTATTATAGACATATGAACGCAAAAGTGACGAAAATAGTTTCTTGTATTTGCAGCCTGTTTCACGGCGCCTTCACCTCAACCATCAAATGCTTGGTTTTCTGTTGGGAATATGTCTACTCCTCGCTATCTTCATGCGAGTACATTCATTTCACAAGACAATGGTATTCTTATCACTGGTGGTTTAGATGGTACCGCTGGGTTAGCATCGACAGAGAGATATATACCATCAACGGGTTGCTTTCGAATGAGCAGTGGTATGTCTTCAGTACGATACTATCATTCGGCCGATGCAATGACCTCATTGTCCTCATGGGTTGTCATTGCCGGTGGTTTGACTAGTGCTACAATATCGAGTACTGCTGATTTATATGATCCAATTACGGAAACCATCATTACGATAAATCTAGCGTTTCCAGTATACGCGCACTCATCAACCAAGTTAAATGAGTGGCAATTAGTGCTCATAGGCGGCGTAACAACCACTGGGTATGTAAGCACCGGTGAAGTTTTGAGAGTTGGCTCACCCTCAGCATTCATATCTGCCCTTAATACAGTACCAGTAGGAATCGTTTGGCATACAGCCACACAGCTTTATAATAATTCATATCTTGCTTTGATCGTCGGCGGTACTGATGGCTCTTCGTACTATTCGACTGTCAGTCTTTACCAAGGAACATCGGATACGTTCATTTCACTTGCTCCTGCAGTGCTTTTGTCAACACCACGTGCCTATCACACAGCTACCTACTTGTCATATCCTATAAATCAAGTACTGATTGCAGGTGGACTTTCGAATAGTGTTACGGTTCTTAATACATTCGCCCTCTTTGATATCAACAATATAAAATTCGTTACAATCACAGCAACCATGGTGACCTCACGATATTTTCACACAGCCACACTTTTACCTAATGGGAAAATTCTGGTTATTGGCGGTGCCAATGCCGTCGTATTAAGTAGCTGTGAACTCATTGATCCAGCGAACAATTTTATCTCAACATCAGTGGCCAGTCTTAACATAGCTAGATATCGCCATACAGCTACGTTAATTTCGAGCAGCGGCAATGGCACTGTACTCATATGTGGTGGCGTAACATTCAGTTCAGTCGTGATTAATAGTTGTGAAATTTACATTGCTTGACAGAGAAATATGACATACTCCTTACGTTGATATTAGTTAGATAAATGTGTTTCTTCTCAATAAAACTACATGTAATCCATTGAGTCATCAATTGTGACTCACACAGCTTAAGTTTGGTCATGTTTATGATTGCTTTTTCTTTTTTCTTTCTCTTTTACTCGTTGAAAAGAAAAGGAAAACGCAGTACAGAAGGCATTATTTTTGCTACTATCTTATACTATTCACCTTTTATCCAGCACAGGTAGGTAGTGCATGATACATATTATTATCGAATGTTGTTTTTCAATAAATTTTGTCGCGATAAACTAACCTAGTAGCAATAAACATAAAAGCTTTCACAAAAAACGATATCCCAAGTATAATTGCTCACTTATTATTTTTTCCGTTAAGATTACACCCATTTGACTATTGAAAATTATCGAGGTAAACATCATACAGCTTTAAAATTAAGTCTATGATATGATTGTTGCGAAAAAAAAAACATTAGTTTCATGGAAAAAAATTTTAATTAAAGATATTGCATTTTGTTGAAAAAAGCTTTTTTATGACAAAATCGTAGTTCAAAAGCAAAATATAACTACTGATTTCTTGAAATAATCTAACATATGTATATATATATATATACTATTGAGTACAAATATCTGTTCTATTCAGTTACAGAAAAATAAAATAAATATGCTGTTGAAATCTGTAAACGAATTCGTGATAAACTTGATGGATGGGGTGTGGGTGGGTGTCTTATCTCCTCTACCACACACACACAATCAGTTTTCTTTTCTTTTTCTGTGATCGAAGTGTTCATGTTCGAATGGACATTTTTCTTTTTCCTTCCTTAAAATCTTCGAATATTTATCGCTGTCATACCCAAAAGATAAACTAGAGGTATTTTACTTTAAAAACATCTTCGGAACACCCATATTAGAAGCCCATTGCTCAAAATCAATCGATACGGTTGGCAACAGCGAGCTGCAAAGAGTGTGAGTGGTAATATCATATGTAAAACCAACACATCGATACCGGCAATGTGAAGTGCGTACTGCATATTGTGAAAGAAGACAAATTGGCCTGTCGGTCATTGTGTGCTTCCAAAAACATGAAAATGAACATTTTTGTTGTGGAAGTATCCAGAGGAGACGGTGTAGCTAATAAACATGGTGAATTATTAAAGTGTAACATTCTCAATTTCAATCAAACATTCAGCAGTTCTCGAATATTTAGGAGTGTCATTTTGTCATATACCGCAGATTATAGAAAAAAAATGAATCAACGATCGACAGTTGTGGTGATTTCTTTGTTGTCATGTACCAGTAAACGCATCAACACTTGCTTGTATAGAGGGGAGGGAAGTACGTAACTGAACAGAATAGCTATTTGTGGAAGAAATGATATGTAATAGACGACCAGAGCAGTGTGATGGAACCATGACCGATTTTCGTATGTGCACGTATTTAAGAAGACCAGAACGAATTGTGGCAGCTGTGTAACGAAGCATAGAAACGGACCGACAAGTAAATCGGCTCGTTCACGGACCTGTTGAACTAAGGAAGTGCGTCCTCTTATATTGTTACTACGAGCTTTCGAGTGTCTTATGGCTAGGATAATGTTCATGCCTCCCATGAAATTGACCAAGAATGGGAGCAGTTGATGGATTAAAGAAATGTATTGTTCAAGCAGGTTAGGACTTTCCATAATGCACCATGTACGCCCTGCCGGATTGGCTACTACTTTGTAGTGAGGCACATACAGGAAAAAAAGCGAACTGAAGAGACAGAATCCGATGATCGTTATTGATATTAGGGCACAGTATGGCGTACACAACTTACTATACCTCAACGGTGCTCGGACCGTAAGAACTCGTTCGACAGTCACCAGCGCCATTAGCCAAGAGCTCAATAGGCCTAGTGATGACATGGAATATGGAAGGCTCTTGCAGAGAAAAATATCAGTCATATGATTGATGCTTGCCTGGCGGATTAAAGTCAAATAGGCAACCCGCACGAGTAGCAGAGCAAGCACCAGTTGATTGATCCCACTGCTGATCAGAAGATAGATGCCACAGCTGGTGAGGCGCGCTTTTTTCGCAGTAAAAGTGAGAAAACTAGCGCCGTTACACATCAAGCCAGCAAAAAAGAGAAACGCAGGCGGAATGAAATGCACGAATTGTTTATTCCACTTTACTTTTTCCAGAAGCATTTCTAGCGAAACAGAGAAGCGACCAGTCGAGAATTGGCATAGATCCCCGCTTGTGCATCTTGGACATATGCACGCAGGGTGTGGATGTGAGTGTGTCTGGCTGGGTGGTATGTTCGACGAAAAATAACGATTAATTACTTTGCTGAGTAATGAAGTGAGAAAGAAAATTGCTTCAGCAAGTTGACGTCAATATATTGCTTCCCAGTCATGGTTCAAACGAATATCTAAAGATAGCTATCCTGTTAAAATTGTACCTTAAATACAAATGAATTTTTTCAACGGACATAATCACCACACGGCCATATTTGCTAAAATATGCTTTTTAACACGTTTATTCGGAGAATACGTCAAATTAATGATCATGAGTGACTGTTAATTTACGATGCATAGTTATGCACTCCACATTCACTCACTAGACCTTGAATGTATTCCATTCAGAATTGGATTAAAGCTATAGTATTGTGAATTTTTCTTTGTCTAATGAATAATATACTGTTTCAACTGTGAATATGTGTCATAATATTGCAAATGCAGCCAAATAAAGTAATAGTTCTTTATTTTTTTTTGTATGAAAGCAACAAATATTCGAAGATTTCAAGAAAGAAAAAAGAAAAATATCCATTCGAACATTGACACTTCGATCACAGAAAAAGAAAATAAAACTGATTGATGACGTGATACCATATAAACTTGTTCCTGTATGCAAAACTGAGTTCTTTTATAAATGATTTTTGTCATTGTATGCATCCTTCTTGATTCATTTAGCTGTTTTTATTTTATTAGAACCACAAGCATTGCTATGGACTCTCATACCCATGATGTCCATCCTTCATAAAGTGTTGCTAGATTTTCTATATCAGTAGCTTCACGAATTGTATAACGAACCTAAGAAATAAATTTAAACAATATTTTCAATTGATAAATTATCTTCTTGTACCTGTTCACTAATGGAGCTTTGAGTTAATGGATCAGGATCAGAACCATCAAGTTTATCACGAATTCGTTTACAGATTTCAACAGCATATTTATTTCGTTCTTCCGTAACTAAATAGAATAGCATTCTTGTACCGAAAAAAATATAGATATAGGTATCGTTACCCTTTGTTGTTTTGTCTGTGGCTTCATGTTGTGTACATGTATTTGCTGTCGATGAATTTATTCGCTCTCGATTTTCTGTTAAATACATTAAAATAATTTTTAAATCGAGATAGAAAAAAACCTATACTTACCATTATCAATAGTAGGATTCAATTGAATTAGATCATCGAAAACTCTGAAAGCAAAATCCAAAATAATTTTTAATTGTATCAAAACGAATATTCGTGAACTTGTTTACTTCGTTTTAATTGTTGAAATTCGCTTCATTTTTACTATGACTACAGCATATTGCATAGAACTGCTTCTATCGATATGAAGTGTATGTTTAACAACAGTATGACATAATTCAAGAAATTCTCGATGAATATTTGAATAATTTTGTAATGCTCGATGAGGAATAACCTTGGCAAAAAGAGAGATTTACGTTCAAATTTGATTTATAATCAAAACTTACTTTTAATAAACTTTTTAATACAGATGAAATATCTTTAAAATTGATATTATGTTGAGACATATGTTCTTTTAATTCAGTTATTAAATGACTGGTTTCATCCTATTTTAAAGAAAATGAAATAAGAATTATCATTTCTTTCAGGCCAACATAGATTTTTATTGTAAGCAGTATTAAATAAAATCTTTATATGGTTTTATAAAACATTAGATAGTCTGAATATGTTCACATTTCGTTTCATCGAAGTCAAAAATAGATTATGTGAATAGAATACATACTCGACGGTTTTCCAGTTCTCTCTCTTCTTTTATTCGATTACGTTTATGTTTCATACATTCATTCTCTGCTTGTTCAATTAATGATGGAAGATTTTGTAATGTTATTTGTTTGAGATTTTCAACCGGCTAAATTAGAAGAAAACTAAAGTTTATCGATACAAGCAATAAGAAAATTTACCGGAAATTCTAAAACGGCTTGCTCGACAATACTGAAATTTGATTCGATGTCGTTTTTCAATAGACAAATTTCTAAGCCTCTAAAAAACAGAAATAAAATTAGACAAAATATTATTCGTTTTTGTGTTATGGCTAACTTTTCTGCGAATGTTCTTGCATGAATAATTAAATCTCGTTGTAATTTTATTTGTTCTTCATATTGTTCGAAAAGAAGCCATGATTGAAGCATTTGAACAAGATGCAAACAAAGTTGTTTATCATTCTAAATGATAAAATTGTAGAAAAATGTTTTTTTTTCGTAAAATTTATATACATCTATTTCATTAGCACGTTCTTTTTGTCGAATTTCAAATTTGTCAAGTACATCTTGAACCAATGGATTAGCGCCAGCAGCCCATCGTAATCGTTGAATAACTGTTTGCTCAAGATTCGCCATTTTCTCAATAATGACTGTTGATATACTATCGTTGATGGTTAAAATATTTTGATCCTTAAATCAATAAGATTTTAAAAATGAATAACTGATTTAATATTTATGAACAAGAAAAGCTAAATACCGTTGTTAATTCTTCGATTAGCTTTTGTCGTTGCTGAGTTTTATTATTTGATTTAAGTAAATGAAAATTTTTCCAACGGTATGCCATTAATTGCATTTCATTAGAATGTTTTCGTATTTGTAATATATCTAATGAGGTTTTGACATGTCTAGACAGAAGTAAAATCTTATTGATAATAAGAAAAAAGAGACAATATATTTTCTTACTCAGCATTGCTACAGTTTTGCCAGATACCGTTTATTTGAGCTAAAAGCTGTTGAAGGTCAGCTAGTTGTGTCGTTGGTGTTATTAAACAAATGTTATTGATAAAATCTTGAAATTGATTATCAGTTTCAATAATATTGGTTTCAAGCATGGACTGAGATGATGGAATTAATGAAAAAATTAAATAACTTGTTGCAAGAGCAGGTAAATCGGCAAGCTAAAGAAGAAGCAACAATTTTGTTCATTCGATCTTTGATTTACATCATCTTATCGGTGCACTTACATATTGAACAATATAAAGAAGAATGAATTTTTTCATTATCATACTAAGATCATTATCTTTTGTTATTTGTGATTTAAGATCTATGGAGAAAATAATTAAATTCGAGATATTTCATGCGAAATTTTCATCTTACTATTAAACGTTTGTGAATGATCAATAATCAATTGACACACTTGCCGCATTGTGGCAATTTTCGTCATAGCAAAAAAGTTGGTTAAAAGTTTTCGATGTTCATCATTATCAATATTTGTCTAAATTAGAGAAAAAAAGCACGTTTCATTTGTATTTCAAACAGGAACGAAAAAACCTGTTTCCAATCAAACAACGGCGATTGCAACCAAGGTGCAGGCACATTCAACATTTGAAAAAGTGTACACACATTATTCAATTCTTTGTCAAGATGATCGAATGAATTCGATAAATTTAAAAATGCATCGAAAATTTCATCGGTTAAATCTGTCCAAGATGAGCGAAGTTGTTGATATACTATTTGACATGTATCATCGACTGATGCTGTTGACTATTAAACCAAGAGAAAAAAAGCTATGTTTTGTGTTTTGAATAAAACAAGTAAAATAATTTACATTTGATGCTGCCATATGTTGAATTTGTTGGAAAGCATTATTTAATTGATCCATACAGACGAACAAACTATTCTGTTTCGAACAAGCAGCACGAATTAATGATGGTATAGTCGTCAGTTCAAAATTGTTTAATAAATCCTATTCGATGAAAGACGATATAGTAGATAATTCTAAGCGCCGTCGTCTTACTGCATACCTTTAATAATCGAAATACATTTTCTAAACTAGTAATTAACTTGACTGTACTATCAATAAGTGGTGAATCCGATGACTGAAACAAATGGAAATTCTTTTGATCGTAACGTTTATTAGAAATTGAACTTACCATTGTCGTACTGTTTTGTTGAATAATAGACCCAAGATAAGCGGTATTGCTAATAAGTGTATAGATTTCATTAGTAAATGTATCGTTACTGATATCTGTCAATGATGAAACATTAAAAAGATTTCTTGCTGTATCACCCATTTGACGGCAATGTTGCCATCGATCAAGTAACATAAGTAGAAGTGTATTACGATAATTTGCGTGTTCATTATTATCTAAGTCTAATAATAGAAGGAGAAAATAAATTTATTGTAATTGAACTGATGAATTTTTCTTTTTACTTTGAAGTGTTGTATCAAATAAATCTTTATAAATAGTAACATCGGTAGGTGACTGATGAATAAATGTTTGTAATTCCGATATCTGTAAGAAAAACAAAACTTTTAATCAAGGACGATGGAAATATTTATTTTACTTTAGAGATTTCTTGATTAACAATTTGAATGTATTCATTGAATTGATTATCAATTGACAATGCTCGACTTATTGATTCCGATCTCGATGGAGATGTTTCGTCAATTAAGAAATATGTATCAATATCATTCAAAAATTCTTGACATCTAGTTAATAGATGAAAATGTGTGTATCGGAGCAAAACGAAAAACAAAGAGTTTTACTTTTCTGTTGTGAAATTATTACAAAGTTCACTTAAACGATCTTTAAGTTTAGTCAATAATGATGATTCAATATAATCTTTGGGTAGATAATGGCAAAGATCAACCAGACTCTTAAAAATATTGACTACGGTTGGTTGTCGTGCCGCTCGATAAACTTTTAGAGTATGTCGTAATTCATCATCCAATTGTTCACTCTAGAAAGAAAACGATTATTATTTAAACATGAAAAATATGAAGCTCGAACATAAAATTTCTCTCGGAAATCGATCTTAAAAAGTATAATGGACTAATTTGAATTTCTATTATTATATATCTTGAACTGCAACGATATGCTTCGGCATAGGTTCATAAAACTCATGCATTCATACTAATTTATACCTGATGAAGAAGTGTGGTTTTTCCTGCTGTGTGAAGGAAATCCGCAGCAAGCACCACTGGTGATGTACTGATCGATACATGATCATTTTCGATAAAATCATGAAGTTTATTACAAAATGCTTTTGATTTTAGATCAGCATGTGCTTCCTTAATAAAATGAAACAATTAATTTATTGAGAAAGGATACAAAAGTTGCAACTGGATTCCTTACAGTGCTATTGGCTAGAATATCTTCAAGATTTTGATAAAGTGTTAAAACTAAATCTTTGGCCGTATTCATATCTGTTCGTATTGTTTGTAATTGTTTTCGTCTAAATTATCGTATTTTTAAATATTTTCTCTTTCTTGTTAAAACGAAATAGTTCACCTGTCAAGTAATGAAAATAAGGAATGATTTGTTGAAGAACTCTCTAATGCTGTTTTAAAATAATCTAAACGTCTTTCCATAATACTCATTTTAATATCATGTTCGCTGATATTCTTTTCCAATTCATTTATATCGTTAACACGTTGAATTAATTTATTCATAGTACGATTAATGGATTCTCTAAAATATTGTTTTATGTTGAAGTCAATATAAGTTCCTATTCGAATTATTTACCCTAGATTGATCCAAGTGTGTCGTATTTCAATTTGGCGAAGATGAAACATTCGTAGTAAAGCATCTTTTTCGACTTGACGTTTTTTAATTGTTATTTGTTCGTATAAATTACTCTGACCACCATAAAATGCAGCCAACACACCGGTATCATGACCAGTCCAATCAATCAATGGATCGTAGATAAATGATTCAAGTAAATTAAGTAAAATTTCTTTTCCATTACGTAATATTTTCAGAACGTTTTCTGATGATAATGAAAAAACACCTTCACTTCCAGCGATACCAAGTGCATTTTGTAAATTTTGTGTTAATCGATATGGAACTTTTTCTGGTACACGTAACTTTTTACCTTTTTCAAAACAAATATTGTAATCAATATGAATTATCTGAACAAAAAAAAAATGATTCTATTTTTGTGAAAAGAATTATTTTTTTACTTGGCCAGATTTTAAATCCACAAGAACGTTATCGAGATGACGATCACCGAGACCAATCATGTATCCAATCATGGATGTGACAGCTAATGAACGACTAAAATTTCGAAAAACAATAGAATCATCAATCGAAACGATGAATCAAAATACCTGTAATTTTGAACATTTTTATACCATAAACCCACACTTGGACAACTACACCAGAGTTCACTAAAAATTTACAAACAAGGAAAATAAAACTATAATTAGAAATTGTAAATCTCACCGTGCTAAAAGATCCGCTGGCGTTTCGCGTATCAATTCTTCAATACATTGGCGTAATATTGGCATTGGTACTTCACGCCGATCTTCTACAGGTTGTTTACCCTGCACAACGAAAGTCAAAGAAATATATTAATGATAAAACTCCTTCTTTACCTTTTCTTTCAATATAGCATTGAGTTTTGAATAGTAAACATCATTTGGCTTTTGTACTGTAGCTATAGTTATTTCTTGATTGTCATTCTTAATGCAAAGAAAAATGTTTCAAAAGATTTTTAATTTTTAAATTCGATCGATATACTTGAGCTTTCCATGTGAGCGCTGTTCCTTGTCGTTGTTGCCATCGTTTATAAAGTGTAAATAGTGGTGTTGCGCCTTCAACCCATTGTATGAGACCGCTTCTTGACGCAAGTGGTATCACAGTATAATTTCTCGCTTCATATGACCATGGTTCATTACGATTGATTTTAGTAAACATAACATTGATTATGGATAATAATTGCATGATACGTTCATCCAAATGAAGATCTTCAAGGCCCTTCAATAGGTATTGATATCGACGTCCGTTTGATCCAACGAACATTAATTTTTTTGGGCGCGTTTTTGTTGGCAAAACTTGAACAGTTTGACCAACACTATAGATTGTATGAAACTAGAATAAAAAAAAAGACGTTAACTGTTGAACATGTACAAACAGAATAAAACCTGGCCATCTTCGCCCGGAATTGGTATAACGCTATGTTTGATTTCGGCTAGTTTTGGACTTATTTGGTTCATAGCGTGAATGGTACCTGATCGTTTGCCGGTGCGATGTAACATTGAATAAAGCTAATATTGAGAGAGAAGCTATGAGAAAATGAATTCGAAACTTTTCTTTTACTTGTCGTAATTGTAACCAACATGCATGTGGATTCGATAATGTAATAGGTTGTTTTAATTGCTCGATGGCTGCATCGATTTGTTTACTATAATCTTTTTGAAATGTTTGTTCGCGTGGTGTTTCAGCAGGTGCACGAGTTATTTGGCTGACTGCTTCAAGAACGGTAATAAACTGAATAGAGTAAAAGAAAAACGGTATCAAGTTAAATTAACAAACATATAAAATAAACGTACAGATTTAAATAAAATATCTTGTTTTTCTTTAATCATGAATTCTTTTTCTTCTTTTGTTAAATGCGTCATGGATTCAAGACGTTGAAGTTCATCTTTAAGAACATCGACACGTCTAAATATAGAATAAAACAAATACGCTAATTATCATGTCGGTGCTAGCTGCATGCGTTTTTCTCTCGAAACTAACCGACTGATTTCTTCTTGAAGTTGTGCCATTGTTCCTAACCAAAGTTCATCCCATAGAACAGTAACACGTCGTAATTCATGTACAAATAATTTAACTTGTCCAACAACATGTGCGTTTGTTTCCGATAGGACATTATAAATTAATCGTAAACTATTTTGCATAGCGACAACATTTTCTTGTTTTTCAATATATTCTTCTTCTTCTTCCATTTCTTCCTCGTCCTCTTCCTCGTCATCATCATCTTCTTCTTCAATATCATCTTGTGATTTTTCATCTTCGGATTCGTGTGTACTTGAAGATTTGCTCTTGTAGACTTGTTCATCTCTTGATTTGATTCGTCTCATTTTCGAATCATCCGTGATTCCGACAACAACGGAGTAAAGTATTAATTGTGGAAAATCTTTTGCTATACGTATCAATAGATTAGTAACATAATCTCGTACAAAACTATCAGGATGATTTAAACGAGAAAATAATTGTGGTATAAGACGTTTCCATGCAACAGTTGGTACACTAAAAAGATTGCTATCAAATATAGTACGCAGCTGTTGAGGATATCGCACAAGTACACGTAATAAACGTAATGTAACAAGAATATTTGATGCATCATCACCATTATTATTATTATTAGACTTTTTCTCATTGGAATTAGCGTATGCACTTGTATTGCTTAATTGTAAATATGTGAAATAAGCACGACACGATTGTTCTAAAAGAAAATAACGGCGAAGATCATATTGTGGATGCAATGCAAGTAATTGTTCGATGAGCATCGGATGTTTTGTTAGCAATGAACAAGCACGTGATAAATCAGTTCGATAGGAATGAAGTGAAGATAATTCAGAAGCAGTCTAAAATGAAAAATAAGACATTTAGAAATAAGTCCATTGAAGAATGAATATCAAACTTACTAATTCGGAGTCATCATCATTTAAAATTCGAATTGAAGATAGAATACGAGATATTTCAATTACTTCGTCCGATGAAACTTCCTGAAAGAAAAAGATGTAACAATAAATCCAGATTCGAACGAGTGAAGAATTTTGGGAAAAATGTTTCGATTTTACGTCGACACAAATATGATGACTTTGTTCAAGTTTTTTTCAAAAGTATAAGAGAAAATTTTCAGTTTTAACATTTTTTGCCTGAAAAGTTTAAGTTTTTTATAGTCAAACATGAAATACACAAACCGATGGAAGAATTGAGCGAACTTGTTGTCCAATATCCAAAGCAGATAATCTAATAGAGACATGGAAATTTCGAAGAATAGTTTTCAATCTATGAATTACATACGGTATAGATCGAGCAAGTAATTGTCTTCCCCACATGTAAGCCCAATCAGCAAATCGAAACCATGATTTGGCTAAAGCTGGACAAGTTAATGTTGAAAAATCTAGCAATTCTCCAATTAACAATTCATCAAGAGGAATGTTTTTTCGAACGAACGGCTCTAAAACAAAAATAAAAGGACATCGATTTTCTTCGAACACAAATCTATTCGAATCAAGCAAACCTCCAGCAATATCAACGCCCAATCCAGTATGAAGATATTGTTTTCGTAATTGAAATAATTTGCCGAGTGATATCACATTTGTTGTTGTTGTTTCATGATTACTTTCAATGGCAGTACGAGACCATTTAGCAATATGCAATAAATTTCTTGAACATTTTTCAATATTAATAATTGAACGTTGATTATTGTAGCCGGGATTGATTTGACTTTCATTGATTAAATGTCGTAGTATAGAACGTGAAAGAAATTCAATAGGAATTGTTATATTTATATTATTCGCTTTATTCAATGAGAGAGCATGCATTAATTTTCCTGTTTCAGTTTCAAGTTCAATGGAAACCATATGAGCATTTTGATAACGTTCAATCATTGTTAGAAGTGACGCAAGTGAATAGGTTTCAATAGACGATGCCTCGGCATGAAATGAACGTAATGGAGATCCTAGTGATGTATTACTAGCTTGCGGTGTTGGCTGACCAGTCGGCCAATTATGAGTTGTTTGGAATTGTTGAATGAGTAATTTTGATGCTAATGTAAAATTATTTTGTTGACGAGCTAATCGTGCTGCGCCCATTCGAAGTGCTGTCCAATTCGAATTTATCACTGTAGATGCGCCTAAAGATATAGAAAATATCTGAACATAATGAGACATAGATCGTCCGATATCTTTCATGACAGATCGATCCGTAGCAGAGTTCATATATTTGTTATACTATCATCTTCTAGCACGAAACTCCAGGGCACTTCTTTTCATAGTCCTTTTTCCGTTCACAGTACATTCTCGTTTAAATGTCGAAAAACAAATCGAAAATAAGCTGAATCGATTTACTTTGATTATTAAAATTTGGTTGACTGTAAAGAAGAATTGAATTCAATGCGCGTACGCTATGTTGAACCGGAGCAAATTTTTGGCCCGGTAATAGAGGAACTTCACGATTCTAAAATTCAAAGAAAACAAAATGCCATAGAATTATATATTCGATCTTACTTCGCTTTGATATAAAGCAGCTACTTGACTAATAGCGGCTCGTTCTTCTGACCATGACGCATGTTCATCAACATTATGTATACGTGTTAAATCTTGTGTCAATTGCAATACTGCATTAAGCGACCAAAGGCCCGATCTGCGAATATTAAAAAAAAATAGAATAAAAACGATATATTTCTTGAAAACTAATTACCTGCGCTTGGATACTCCTTTTAATGTTTCAACAGTTGCTAACATATCAAATGTTTCCATATCCCAACCACAAGATATGCTTAGGCCGAGTTCTTCTCCGGTTGCTTGTGCATTTGGCATTTTTCTCATAGCTACTTTTAAACCTTCAAAATCTCGATTTTCAAAACAGCTCATTGCTCTAAAGAAAAAATTAATTGTTTTAGTTTATTCTAGAAAAAAATATTATTCTGATCTTCTTACCGAATAGCATTAATATCAATTGTTGTTTCCATCGATGAACGTAAATCTTCATTGTCATCTTGTAAAAATGCTAGTTGCATTTTAAGACATGCTTCATTCCATGCAATTAATTCAGGCCATTGATGAAGACTTAAATAACAATCGTAAACCTATTTGAAAGGCAAATAATATTTTTCTTTTCGTATATCTCATTTTGTCAATTTACTTTTTGAGTTAAAAATTTTGCAAGTCCACCTGATATTTTCTCTTCTTTTTTTTCATTAGTGGCCGATAGATTTTTAAAATGTTCATTCAATAATAATTTGTATTCATAAGCTGCTTGTTCAAGATTTCCAGCAGCTTCATGTTCACACGCTTGTATCCATGACCAATCAATTTGATGAGTATTTTTCAGCCATACATAAATTCCATGAATAGCCATACTATTATGAAGTTTAATTAGCGATTGAACAAAGGATATTATAACGAATTCGAATTCCACTGCCTTTATAATAGAGATTGAAAAAAAATAAGGAATAGATATTTAGAAATAATTTTACCTCGACTTGACCTAATGAACAAGCGTGCATTAAATATTGATTACAATTTCGTGCAGCCGATTCATACTGGCCACTTCGTACAGCTGTTAGAATCATTGGAATACGAATACGATTGAGCCACTCGCAACATGTCGTTTTGTTTGTAATAAAAAAGAATTTAACAGTCTAATAGAAGTAACTTGTTTATGTAGAAATAAAATGAAAAAGAAATTTACTTTAGGTAATTGTGGAAGTGAAAGAGCTGCTCCTTCATATGCATTGTACATACACTTTTCAAGTGCTTCAATTAATTGTAATAAAAGACCGCAACGGTGTAAATCACACCACCAATCACCTTTGTCTGATGGAACATTTACTTCACCGGATGATGACGATGCTGTAGCAGGAGGATTGACTGTTGATGATGGCGTTGAAGAATGATTCGTTTGATCCGATGAAGATCCTTCGGCTTTTTTCGTACTATTATCAATCGGCCAAGCAAAAAACCGTAGAGTTTCTAAATGAAAATTAATTTATTCAATTTTACATTGATATTGGTGTTTTACACATCTACTATTCTAAAATAATAGTTTTCACGATTTTCATAGATAATCAATTTGAACAATGCTACTAAACTTATTTGGCACGAAAAGACCAGCTAAAGAGTGTTTTGGGGGGCACACAACATGTATTCAATGTTTACAGTATCCTCTGGGAAATGTATGATTTCCACTAGATTTCTATTACGGTCGCTTGAGTCCATGGAAAAGAGCAGTTCTTCTGCTTAGAGTTGATAAAAGTATATATATTAAGAAATAAGTTGATGGGTACTTTCTAAGACAGAAAATAAAACTGTTACCTTCGAGTGCTAAAAATGTTTCTTGCGGTTTCCCAAGTGGTGTTTTCAATTTATTCATAACACAAAATTGTGCACATTCCCATATAGCCCAAAACCAGATCTATGATTGAAGTAAAAACGAACACGTATTCGATACATAGAAGTTTTCAATAAAGCAAACCAATGCATCATTTCCAAAATTTGGCAACTGCTCATAACTTAATAGGCGATGTTGATTTTCAGGTAAATGTTCGTCTTTCGAAGCTCCGCTGTTACTTTTACGTTGACACGATTGAAACAGACGTTCAAGCCATGTAGTTGCGTACATTCGTCTGGAGGAAAAAAATGAAGACTTCAAAGATTTATAATACAGAAAAAAAACATACGGCATTTGATGATTAACAAGTATATAGCCTAATATTAGATTAAAACAATGTGTGGTAAATGTTCCTAAATATGGAGTATTCATATGATTTCGTTTAACGATGCTAGCAAAACCAGAATAGTCATTTTTCGATGATAACAATGTGCCATGCGTAGGAAATTTACTAAAGAAACAGATTCATGAGAAATGATTCAACAATTTCGAATTTCCTACTAACCTGGTGAGAATATTAACAGGTAAACAACATAAAATAGCATAGTAACTATCGTGAATTGATGTTTCATTGGATTGTAACCAAAATCGGCATAGATCAAATAAGCTAAAATAGATTATTTTGTGTTCGGAAAGAACAAAAACTCTCCCATCGATTAATCTTACCGGACTAAGAATGATACATCGAGGTCGCGTTGTCTTTTAACAATTTTATTTAGTAAACGACAACATAAATTACAGATTTCTTCTTCGTCGGAATAGGCTAAACAAGTATTTAGAATTTGCTTGTTTTTATCATCGTATGAAAATTATTTTTAAAATTTCACGAGTCTATGCGAAATAGCCCTGCGCAGAGAGGCTGTTTTAGATCGGCACAAATCCAAAAGCTTACAGTATCTTATTATCAATCTGAAAAATATCTTTACCTATATCAATAATAGCATGTGATAGTTTCAGTAAAAGTGGTAAAGTAAGTAATCCATTGTCTTCTTGTGGAAGTGCATCGATGATTTCAGCAAGCCAATTTAATACCAATTTTCTAAATAAAATTCCGTTGATTTCGTTTTTTATTCGACTCAATTGTCTTACTTTGTATCATGACAACTAAGATGACTATTAACAATAAGACGATGCTGAAGTTTAAGTAAATCTTCAAAATTATCTTTCGTTAAACTTGTTAAACTCATCACGTTAGTTGTATCGTTTTGTTTAAATAAATCTGAATTATGAATGAAATGTTCGTGTCTAAAATAGCGATACAAATTCTTTTCGAAAGCGAAACTCATCTTGAACTGATGATTACTAACGCTGCACAATGTGAATAGAGAGTTTTCAGTACACCATAATGAACAGCTGGATATTGTCGAGCCAGTTTCGAATTTGTTAATTGCAGATGTTTAGCGAGTAATTCAAAAAGTGGTGGAGAAAGTGCGTACATCTAAATTCAATAAAAATATTTTATTTAATAAAAAGTTGCTTGCAAGTTTTGGAGATAAAACTTTATGCATCAAGGTGAATTTTCGTTTCATAACTTACTCCAATTAGATTTCCTTTTACATTTCCAATTTGGCACAAAGCGCTACAATCAAAAATAAGTGCTGCTTCGGCATCATCTTCATTCAAATCGCTCGTTGTTGCTGATGCACTACCAATGACAATCAGTTTCTGTTCGAGAACATTTAAGAGTACATTAAAATTCGATGTCATATCAGCTAAAATAGCTTGATAAACTTGTTGAACAACGGGAATGCTTTTAATTGTCAATAGACGATTAAACAATTGTAAAACATCTTGAATAAGCTATTAATAGAAGAAAGAAAAAATACTATGCTCTAAGGGGAAAATAGCATTGTCTTACAGCATTGGAGTATAAAAATCGATACAACCATAGACGAGACTGGGCTGCAAATATTGAACTAGCCAGTTTTGCACATGAATCATGATCAGCTATATCAATAACTTTCATAATTAATCGAAGTAAATTAACATCTGCTTCATAAGGCCAACTTTGTGTATGAAGATGAGTTTGTTCAATAATAAAATCAAATATTTCGTTTTTAAGTTGTTCATCAAATTGTGAAAATGTTTCCAATAGAATACAAACAGCTGTATTAGCGGGCTTAGCTAAAATGCCAAATAATTTATCATGTCTGATGATAGTTGTTGTATGTAAAATTTTCTGTAACCAATTATCAACATATTCAACAGGTAGTAAATGAGGTGTCGCAGCAAAATTATCGGAAAGTGCACGAAGAACAGTAGCAAAAGCTCTGAAAAGAAAATGCATGACATAGATAAAAATTTTCAATATCATTTCAATTCTTCGAGTAAGCTTTTGAAAAAATCATAAAATGACTTGTGCCTCGAATAAAGATTTTCATGGTTAACTAGAGTTATACTGGCACATCCTATTAAATTATTCTCAAGTAACTACATTTTATCTCAGGAGATTATTTATTGTATTTCTTTGATTTTACCTTTTGATATATGAAACACATAAACTAGAAAATCATTTTCTTTTCTAAATATTTACCTGTATAAAGCAGCAATTTTGTCTGTAAATGACGCAATTTCACCATCGCCATCATTATTTTGTTCCTGCAGTTCAAATTGCTGAAAATAAATCAAAACAAATGAGTGATGTCTATTTATTAAGAAACGATTATTTATTTACTTGAGCATAATTATCAGCATCTTCAATAAAATGATCTAATAGAGTTAATGTTGTGCGTTCAATTTGATCTACCCAAAATGGGCGAAATTTTTGCAATGCTTGAGCTGTATATTCTAGAATGCGATCTGTTGGCAATGGTTCAATATACCAACCGATAAGAATATCCACAATATCCTTTAAACAGAACAATTTTTTTTTTAGATATACATAGTTAAAAAATGATGCGTACAACAAAAATTTCTTGAAATATTTGTGGATAAATTCTCGAAAGTTCAATTATTGTATCCGTAATAGCAATCATTAGCGGAGCATGAACCACTGATTCAAGAATTTTTTTTAATTGATCACTTATTTGTTCAATTTCATTAGCTAAACATAACATTTCGCGTTCATTTTGAATACTATGACGAAATGCATTGATGAGTAATTGACGTTGACTATCATTTTTTCGCACATCATTTAAGCGTTCAAATATCCATTCGGAAAATCTTGAATTAACCAAGAGAACATATTTCATGTGAACAATATGATATTATATACTACTTTGGTTCGCCTTCGTTCAACATCGCATAGCCTATTAATCCCATACAATGAGCAAGTTCAGATCGAATTGTTTCATGAGATCTTTAGAAAATTGAAAATAATTTTTCATCAACATAAATTTTTACTGTTAACCAAACCTTTCTTGAAACTGTTCGAAAAGTACATTTAGTGCTGGTTCAGCTAATTTCATAATAAACTGAATAATAGAAGCAAAGTAAATTTGATGGGTATAGATTTTAAAAAAAAACGTTCCATTACTTTATTACTATCGGATCTTTCAAGATAGACTTGAAATTCTTGAATACGTTGAATACGTAAATCAAATGATCGTTCATCACGAATAACTTTTTTTAATAAACGAGCACATTTTGAATCGTCGTCAAAGATTTTTTGTAAATCTTCAGACATTCCTTCCATGGTCTCTTCATCAACAGGATTGCCCGGTTGTGATCGAGAATTATTCCCGTGTGATTGCCTCGCGGAATCATAATAACGATTATTACGGGATGAATATGATGACATTATCTCTTCATAACATCTATATACGCAGAAAAACAATTCGTTTTAAACTTGAAGAGTTTTTTAAAATAAAGGTCTTAAGATGTCTGATGATAATTTTCAATTTTTAATATTGATGCAATCGTTTTATTTCATAAAATTAGCTAATACCTGATAGTTTTCAATTCTACACAACTACCTAGCTGTCTAATAGTGATAACAACCAATCGAACATTGTCAGTGACTCTTTTCAACGATGTTGATTCTGGTCGCTAGATAGCGCAGTATATCGGTTTGCTCTTCGCTTAGTTAATAAATTGAAATGTAAATTTCTTTCAATTAAATACACCACTGTAATGCTATTAATTAAGTTTATTACCAGTTTAGCGTGAAAATATCGGGTAGAAACGAGAATTCATCTCACTTCAATATCAAATTATATTATTGAAACATTCTTATTGCGTGTTATTTATACAAAAATGTTTCAAGAATATATCTGCAAAAATTTGGATCATTTGCAAAGGAATAGGTTTCTCAATAATAGTTTCATGGTAGCGTTTTCTCATGGAATACAAACATTTGGCTTTTGCCGAAGTCCTGGTAGTGAAGAGAAAATTTAAAAACAAGAACATTCGGAATATCACTGTGTTTTAAAATATATATTCTCGTAGTTATTTCCTAGTTTTCGTCGCAGTATTTTATTTCAATAACAAAAAAATACAGAATAATACAATATAAGACATATGTCGGTTTATACGAACAAGCACATACACATTTTTACAGTTGAATATCATGAAAATATATATTTCTATAACAATCTTATAATTTTATTTGTAACAATCTTTCAATTTCACTTTGATCATTTTCGTTTGCTTCTAATAATTGTTTTGAATAAGACTGACGAAAATCATCTTTGAATTCATTCAGAAAAACATGACTGACTACATCTAATATGTCCGACCATGTTTTTTCTCGATTTGACGTCCAATAGTAATGAAATACATCATGTTCAAGAGCTTGTAACTGTTGGAGTGCCGGTAAACTTTTATTATTTTCGTCCGAAATATGTTGCAGAAATTGAGTTGCATATTCTAGAACATTAAATTTTGTTCGATCGATCTTTTTACATTTGTCTTCTAGTGTCAATGAATTTTTCGTTCGTTTCTTCTCCGTTGACATATCTTTTGTTTTTCGTTTCGACGGAACAGGTTTTAGGATAGACTAAAAGAAACCAATCAGATCTATTCATTGGGCTTGTTTTTACAAAGCATACTTCGTCTTTAGCTAGAAAAGTTTCAATAGCCCAATCGATACATTGAGACCATTTTTCTGCTTCATTTTTACTGTTTAATGGAAATCGTGCCAGCCATCTTTGTTTAATCCATAATAAATGAATAGGACGTGTATAATAAATACATAGTTCATTATCATTCCATTGAGATGATGCATCTTGTTTAGCTGAAATAATATGTTGAATATCATCTTTGGGTATGGCCTGACGAAAAAGTGAACAAACAAATTGTTTTTCGTCGTTGTAACGATTAATTCTATTAAGTTGATCAGCATTTATGCCACGATATTTTGATAGAGCTGTTTCGATTGAAAAATGTTTTTCACATTTACCATACGATTGACGTTGTTCATCATCATCAAAATTTTGATTACGTTCATTTAGTATAAGCTTAATAATAAGATCAATTAGAAGACGTTTATGTCGAGGGTATGGTAATTTTCCATGAGTTCCATCATAATTACAGCACATTCGTTCTTCATGATTGAAGATTTTTGAATGAGCTTTAAGCATAAGACTATCGAAATTTTCTATTGAACGAAGGCTACGTGCCATCGAGATAAGATTAGGTGGATTTGTATCATGAAGAAGAGGATAATTGGGTAGAAGATCATTTGGTGTTAAACGATTTTGAATGATATCATCTAATGTCACGGATGATAGTGAATAGGTTGTTTTAGGACACGAATTGTTCGAATCAATTCTAAATAAAAAATAGAAATTTGCAAAATTCTTTCAATTGATGTAATTTTTTTCTTCAATAAGAATTTCATCTTACTTTTTATCTTCAGATAAGTCAGATGTCAAACATGCTGAATTGAATTCTTCATTTAGATTTTCTTTTGATGATTCTATTAGTGACAATAAAAAGTGAGCCATTAATGATGTAAATTAGACTTTTTTCTTTACTTTGAAAAAGTTCATCTGTTGTTAGATTGAATGTATTCGAAAGATTAAGAATTAGTTTTTGTGCTTGTGATAAAAATGTGGTTGTTTGATTGATTAATTCTTCTCGATGAATTCCATTTAAAGACAATTCTGCATCGCTATTTTTCTTTACAAAAGCATTCACAAGTAATTTAGCAGTTGTTTCAATGGCTGTTAAATTATCGAGAATACCTTGACGATCAATTGAATTATTCATTTGTTGTATGGAATCAAAAAACAAATTTCAATGTATACAATTTACTGGTAAAAGACAAAGAATCGCTTGGTTATACAACAAGTGTCATCTTTATTTATTTATGATTGGTGAATAGATATCAATAGAGGTTCTAACATCTATGATAAAAATAAAAATCAATCAAAGAGGAAGTGATTCGTTTTTTTTCGTTGTTGTTAATTGTTTATCATTGCAACATTTTTATTTAAATGAAAGACATTTTTTGCAATGGAAATAATTGAAACCAAATAAAAAAAATCACTGTTTAAAAGAGTTAAATTAACAAATAAATTAAAATTAACAATGATGAAAAGGAAACAAAACCAAAAATTAAAATTAGGCGAAATAGACTGTTTTTAAGGATATATTAATAGCTATTACTTGTTTAATCTTCGTCTAAATCTCCTAGCAAAATATAATCAGCGCCCTTATGTTGGTTATTTCTAGATTTCCAGCAATTACAAGAAAATTTAAACTGACATAAAACAAGTAATATTAGAATAATACTGATAATTATCAAAAATACCATTAGTAGAACCATAATAACAGTTTGACGAGAGTGATCTAATTTAGAAAATTTATCGCGAATTTCATCGATAGGAGCAGTTAACCACCATTTCGAAGTTGACGGAAGTGCTAGTGGATGAACACAAAAACCTTTCAAAAAGAAAAATCATATGAAAAATAAATGAAATGTTTCTGTTTCATAAGTTACCATCCCAGATCGACGGACATTGACAACAATCGGAGTTGCTGAGATTCGCAGTACAACAAGATACACATTGATGAGTAGACATATCAAGTGATAGTGGATAAGAACATTGACGACAATAGGAGCCAGGATATAAACACTCAAGACAATTGCTTGTACACATCTTGCACATCTTTAATTGAAGAAACAATATGTATACGACTTTTGTTTTTGTCGTAGAATACGAGCTTCGATGTTCTTCTATATGATTCAATAGTGAGAGATCATTATTCGTTTCGAATTTTCTGTATGAAATAGACTCTAGTGAGAGATTGAATTCTCGAAATACGTTTTTCCAGTTCGGAATTTTTCTTTATCGTTTGAGATTTCGAATATATGTACTATCGGAGTTAGCTTGAAGATTGGCCGAAATGATAACTAGACATTGCGTACTTCAACTCCTTTCCTACTGTCTCTATTCGCTAATGACTTACTTCATCGAATTTATCATAAAAATTTCCATTTGGACACAAGCTTAGACATCGATTTTGTTTTTTATCAAAAATAAATCCATCGGCACACATTTCACAATCGTATTCCGATGATCCTTAACACCAAAACAAATAGTTTCATATTTATACAAAAGTAAAAATTAATTCGCTATCTACCTGTGCAGTTACCACAAATAGGATGACATTGAAGACATTCTTTCTTATTTAAATAATACCCATCAGGACATTTTTTAACACATTGATCATGCAGTAGAAATAAGTTGTTCTTACATGTTAAACAACTGCTTGCATTCGAACATGTAACACACGGATCTTGGCATGGTACACATTTAGTGTTCAATAGGAAAGTCCTACAAAAATAAATTCAAATAAAACTGAACTCAAATATATATCGGGTCACACTTTACCCAGCTAGACATGTTGGAGTGCAGTATAGACCACTTATATTGTATCCTTTCGATGAATCACATTCAATGCAAAGCTCTGAACTAGTACATTTTTTGCATCCAGTTAAACACGGTAAACAAATATTTATTGGAAGACTATCTGTTTGTGTTGCATTCACAAAAGTACCCGATGGACATTCATTAACGCAGTGTCCCTCCTCAAGAAGAACTTCTGTTATTGGGTTGCAAGCAATGCAATCATTTGGTTGTGGACCTTTGCATTGCGTACATGAGCCATGACATGTTCGTTTTTCACCTGTTTTAGGGTCAATATAATATGGTTTACCGATATGTTTTTCGCAACGATGAGTATCAGGAACATAGTCATAACCTAGTTTACATGATAAACACGCTGAATCATTGGATGATGTACAATCCGAACATGTTTCATGACATGAAAGACATTGAGAAGTCGCTTCCGAACGATAAAATCCCGGTGAACACGCATTAACACATGTATGATATTGAAGAAAACGAAATTTGCTATTAGTATCACATGAAGTACATTGATAAGCTTGAGATCCACTACAAGTCTTACATCGAGAATCACACCATCGACAACTAAAATAAGATTCGCATTTTATTTGAAAATTTCTAAAATATCCACGTACGTATTTGTAGTAAAATCAAAATATTCTTCTGGTTTACATGCTTGCGCTGCCTTTACACAATCAGCATCCTTGAGGGCGTAACCATTTGGGCACGACGAGCATATATAAGAATTCGTATCACATGATGCACAATCAGATTTACAACGAACACATTTTCGAAGTTTACGATCTTGTCAAATAGAACGAAAACTGGATGCCATTTTTATTCAATTCGTTTACTTACCAATATAATAGTTAGGAGGACACGAATCAACGCAAAGCATAGTATCATGTATAAGAAAAAAGCCAATTTTACAACTAACACAACTGTTTTCACTTGCATTTCTACAGGAACCACACTGTGGATGGCAAGGATAACATGATTTATCGGCTGCAGACGAGTAACTACCTTCGGGACAAATGCCTACACAGCGGCTAAATAAAACCAACGAGAAACACAAACAATTACGATACAAAGCTTCCGATAAATATCTACTCACAATTTTCCATCGGCTAGTGGTTGTTTGTAATGGCGGCATGATGCACAACTCGTATCAGTATTACCACATGTGTCGTTAACATTACATTCGACATGACACTAAAATATACATATGATAGAAAAAAAAAGCGTTCGGCTAAAAGCTATTCTCTAGCGACCCACACAATAAATTTAAAAAGGAACTCTACGCAAATACACTAAAAAACTATTTTTAATTATGAAAAAAGCAGAAGAGAATCGCTAATTTAGCTAAATTGTTTTACTTAAAACTTATGATTATCATTATTTAGATCATTTTATAATATTTAAAAAATTTAATTAAATACATCGAGCAATAACAACTAACTTACGGTACTGTTAGCAATAATTTTTTTTCAATAAAAGATAATTTTGTTAGCTTAGAGCAAAATTACAAGCGATTGTTTACTTTATTCGATGTACAAAAGCATGGTTATATTATTGAAAAACAAAAATCTACGGAACAGAAAGATCACGTATACTGACAAATGATAGAAGATAGTTACTGTTCAACAGTGAAATGCATAGTTAACGATAGAAACACAAAAGAAGCTTTACTACTGTAGAGAAGCACAACGATCATAATATATTATCATAGCTAAGAATGTAATTTATTCTATGTTAGATAGTTTTAGAAACTAAAAACGCAAGCAGTTTTGATCGTTCATAGCAATTATTAGATTACAAATAAAACCTAAATGATTATTGTGCATTTAGTACTAAGTATATTAACAAAATATATCTGTAGAAAATAAATTACTATTACACTGTTCAAAATAGATTTAAATAAGAACAATAGAAAATAATAGAACAAATATTAATGTTGTCGAGCAATGTGACGAAACAGTCGACGTAGAGGAAAATAACTTAAACAAAGGATGTTGACTTACGTCGGGTCGAGTTATTTCCGGTGACGAACGAGCTGATATAGGATATTCACGCGTACCATGAACCACCACTCGCCAAGATTCTAATACAGCTGGAAAAGTAAAGAACTTTTTTTAGAATTTCAATCAAGACATCATCACTGTTTCTCTTAACAACAAATTTAAATCCCTCGATCAATATAAAGCTGTACTACCGATCGTTGTATTATTCATTTATTCCTTACCTGATCCATCACCTGTATTAGATACTTTTAATCTCCATTCTCCATGAGGACTTTCACCCCATAATTGCACTGTTAAGAAAGCCCAATTGGAAAAACCTTGATCATTACGATCGCGATCACGTTTCTAAAGTAAGCATTGTAATAAAAACAAAATCAGATTTCAAATAAAATTATGAATTCTCACCGGTAAAAGTTGTGTTGTTGTATTTGCTGGTGAATCAAGATAGATTTCTATTGTCCCCCGAAAAGTAGCTGTTAAAGTTATGAATACTTGTACTTGTTCAATATGATTCACTTGACGTTTAATATCACTATCAAGTTTACATTCGTTTGAGTCCATAGAAAATATTTCAGCTGAATGAGCTGCTATAGTCTTCTTTGGATTACTAGTCGGTGTTTCGCATGATGACATGGCAGGAACATTTTTCCAACCACTTGCATACCATGTCATTAGACCAGCATCCATCAAACCAAAACCATATTTACTACTGACTATAAAAAGAAAACTAAACGTATCGCATAGAGAAATAAACTCGATTTACCATTGAATCCAGCTGCATTTTTAACTATTTCTGTATTTGATGGAATGACATTGGAACGAGAACCGAGAACTGTTATATGCATAATATCACGCCATGTTAATTTAGGACTAAACAAAAAGAAAACAGATTTTATTGAAATGAAACAAAAACAGAAATTAATTACTTTGCTTCGAGAACAAGGGCGTAAATGGCTGCAGCTAAAGGTGCAGCTGCTGATGTTCCAGTATGATGTTCTGTACAGCCATGATGTAAATCTGTAGTAATCTTTTCGCAGAAAAGAAAAGAAACTAATGAACAACACCAATGATTATTAACATACTATGTCGTGATCGCCAGTACCCCCTTGACCACTGCTATATGCTGAGGCAAGAGTAGCTGAACATTCTTCAAGAAACCATGGTTTGGTTCCTGTTTCTGTTACAGAACTAACAGCAATCTAAACAAACAAACAAAACTGCAATTTTTACAATCCTTGTGGGATTAACATGTGAATGACGATTCAATTATTGTTGTTAATCACAGGGATATTGTTTTGTACTCGCTATATTTAGATGAATAACTCAATAAGAAGACAGCTCAAAAACAAATTATACAACATAAATTATCCTACTGTATAAATCGAAGTTATGTAACCATCACAAGCACATGAATCCGATGAACGACCACCATTACCACTCGCCCAAACAAATATTGATCCTTTGCCACCTCGACCCTATAATTTATCACCCTAAGTAAACGCATTGTATTTTTATTTACTCACGTTTAAAATACCATTTTCAAATGCTTTCCTAGCCAATACGCCAGGTCCATCGACAACAAGACCATTATCATCTGGTCCCCTGAATTCGTAAAATCATTACTTGAAAGAAATACTTCGAGGAAAACAATAGCTTCTACTGACCAACTAGCAGAATAAATGTCAACATGATCAGGCCTATGACTAATCGATCGTGCTTCAACACTATCTGTTACATCACCATCTAACATTCGAATGCCACCTACTCGAGCGTGATGAGCAATACCAACTCCACATATTTGGTTATTTGCTTTGGCTGATACTTCACCAGCACATCGAGTTCCATGTCTAATGAATAAAAATGCAATTTTTTCTACAGGAATCCAGTTGAAATCTTTTCTCCTACTTGTTCTCATTGGAGGGTTCATAACGTGGTGAGGGATCATCATCACCGCCATTAATATCGGTACTTGCTTCTTTATCCTATAGCGAGAGAGAGAGAGAGAGAAAGCAGACATCAGACTTTTTTTTTATAAATGAAATCTTAAGATCAACAAACATAATTTTCAAGTAAATCCGGATGGTCGTATTCCAAACCATCATCAAGAAAAGTTACAACGCTTCCTCGGCCTGTATAACCCATTGTCCAAGCTCCCGTTACGTTTAAATCCGGTAAATTAGGCGTACGTGAATGTCTCACCTAAATAGATGAAAATTTTCTAACATTAATCAACAGAGTAAAACTTAATCTTACCAGGTACCACATCTTCTCCCACTCTGGATCATTATAAACATAATCACGTTTCTGTCGTTTTTTTGGTATTTGACTTTCAGCCCACTCAACCTAATGGAAATCAAAGATTATTAAAAAAGATCAATATTGTTTTATATCTTTTATACATGTTCATGATTGAGAAGAATGTGAGCTGGATCAATACCATTTTCGATAGCTCGTCGATGACGTATATGATTTGGAGATGACGGATCTTCTTCTATTTCACAATAGCCATCAAAAATCTAAAAAAAGACAATAATTCCAGCTGTTTTTTTAGTGAATAAGAGACAAAACAACCTGTCGAACATAGCGATATCCATGTTCTTGAGCAATTTTATCACCAATAATTGCACAATCACCTTTAACTTGAATCACAATCGATTTTAAAGAATTAAAAGTTGACTGCGTTGTTTGAATTAATAAGAAAAACTGTGGGATCGAAAAAATTATTGAATGGAACATTATTGAGGAGAAGAAAATGGAGACGATTCGATCAATGACGTTAATTACATTATTATTACTGATGGAATGTAATAGAATCTACAGCGAAAAGCACTGTTTATATGATGGTATCATCAATTTTGCTTCAAGTACGATGAGAAATAGAAAGAAATACTTTACAAATAAAATCTATTTACTTGTTATTTGATCAGTTCACATGCGAATACTCACCTCATGATGAAGCCAATAATTCGTATTTTTCAATCTGCAAAGAAAACTAAATAAACATGAGCAGAACAAGGAAAAAATGGTATTGGCCAAAGGAAAAACTCATTCAACCGAGTACGGTGTGAATGTACGAATGAAAATGAATCTATATTACACCTTATACTTCAATGTGGATTAAAGTTGAGCCTTTTCTCCTTTGCTAGGCGTAAGTTTCTATTGAAAATGCACGCAATAGATGAATAGAAGGATACAAATAGGCGTTTGAAATAAAAGAAACGCTAATTTATTTAAATCTATACTCATGACAAATATACACATGTTACTGTATTAATCGAGCGTTATGGTTAGTGAGTTCTATTACTCATTTCCTCAATTTTAACTGCAATCGTAATCATATCCAATCTGCCAATCAAAGAAGCTAATTATTTACTTCCAGTTTATGTTTTATTTCATTTTGAAACAAAAATAACATAAAATTTTCATGAAAAAAAATATTATGTATCATAAAAACGCTACGCCATCTATCATTTTAATTATGGGTTCAACTTAACTATATGTAGCTACCTCAACATTTTTGACGAGAAAGAATTCTAACTAAGAAAATGATCAGGAGATTATTTGTGGCTATTTTTGATTTATTGATTAATTTCAGAGGTCGCTTAAGATCAATGGACATCTGTTGATTATTTTTGTTTTTTAATAATGTAAACAGTATCTCTCTTCGATGAATACTCTTGATCAAAATTGTTTATCTGTAATTTCAATTCTTTTCATCGTTACATCATAGCATATGAAAATCATAGATCAAACGCCAACACAACATTTATTAGACAATATAAAGATATAGATTATAACTTTGAGACGACATTTAACAGTATGATACAATGAAAATTCCGAAAGAAACTGAGAGAAAAGAAAGGGGAGGCAATAACAATAATAATAGCAGAAAACACTAGAAAAGCATAACCGGAGTACCAGTAATACAACCACCGTTAACACCATGCATCAAAAAATGTTTGATCGATACCTTACATTGAAATGCATGCTTGTTGTAACACATTGATTCGAAAATGAATAGTAACATGAACACTGCTTAGTTTTCGAAGAGAACCAGAAGATAAACTACGCCAATGTCTATAAGAAAGAAAACTATTTGAAAATAGTCAAGAGCACTAAAATTTTTTTAAGAATTCGAAAGAACTATTTTTATTTGACCTTCACTGAAGTGAATACTGATTCCAAAAGTGAAAAACTCTTTTAAGAACATCTGTTTTTGAGAATTTCGTGCTTATTCTTCTTACCAGTCGATCGAAGATAGAGCAAAATAAACCAACCATATTGTGCTCTGTGAATATGAAACAGATGATATAATTTTTTTCCAAAAACGGAAAGGGGCGTATAAGATACCCTATCGGCTCATTTAGATTTTTTCAACTCAACCTATTGACATTACATATGAAATGAAAGCTCTCGTCGAGACAAGCATTTCGGTACTAAATTCGTCACGGAAAAATGAATTTAAAAAAAGTGATGAACATTTTTGATTATTTGGCTGTTGCTCTTGAAAAGAGTCCCATTTTCGACACAAATATATCAGACTAGAAGTGTTCTCACATTGATCATTCGATAGACATTTTTACGTGCTACAAAATAGGATGATTACGAAAGTCAAAAAACATTGGCCACTTAAAGGTAGCTTCGGCATACACTTTTTTGAGCGGTGATTGAGGTATGTTCAGATTTCCGAAAAAAGAAATTACAGAAATTTCCGAAGCTTCCATCAACTCGATTACTACATAGCAAAGCAAATGAAAATTTTTTGAAAATATTTGAAAGTTTAGAAATTTCGGAAATTGTATAATTTTGGGAAGTACCAAACAATTTAGAACACAAGTACTTGAAATTTCCAAAACTTCCAAAATTTCCTTTTTTGGAAGTCTGAACACTGCTGAACAGTTGGTGATTTTCCCTCGTAAGTAACTGTGTATTAGGGTGGTGCGGGTACAATTTTTTTTGTTCCCGTTTCTCGTTCCAGCACCTACAGGAGAAAAAGTTTGTTCTCGTTCCTCTAGAAAAAAAGATTTGTTCCCTTTCCTCTAGGAGAAAAGGGATTGTTCTCGTTCCCGTAAAAGAAATTTTATTTTCCCGTTCCCGTAAGACTTTCATAATTTTAATAGTAGCTATTAGTTTCTTGTAGCAGCACGTTGTTGCAAAAACGTAACAAAAAACATAGTAAGTTACATTGAAATTTGATTTATGCCCTATCGATACTACCATTCTGAAACGTTTTGATCCATATCTTGAGGGTGTGTGTATGTGCGAATTCCATGAGATCATCTACGCGATGATAAAGAAACAAAAAGATCAAATTCCATATATATTTATTGAAAGGCAGATCAAAGTAGAGAAAGTCATGAATGCTTCAATTTATTGGAACGATAATAAATTGATTTACGCTACATTGGTTCAATAGCTCAACGAGTACTATGTATTCGGGCAACTAATATATCTGTAAAACATTCTCTTTCAACCAGTGGAGGTACGATAACAAGCTATTGTGCACGTTTGAACAGGAGTAAAGTAAATCAGTTATTATTTAGGCGTTGAGATATATCAACCTTAAGAGAGCTGTTTCTACTTCCAATTGAGTAATTAAGAGAAAGGAAGAAATAATTGCATGTCGACAACACCAATGAGAAAAGGGAAAGTTTGAAAAGAAGACGATGAGATTACTGTGTTGCAAGATAATCTTGATGATCTTACTTTCGATGATATGTATAAAGAAGATGATCGCTGTCATAATGTAAGATGTAATGAACAAAAAATGATTTGTATAATTTCGTTGATTGAGATTGGCTAATTTTTTTGTTAATTATATATGCAAATAACCATTTAAAAGAAAAGCTTGTTACGCAAACGAATTTTAGCGCATATATAAATAGGACAAACAGATTTTCTGGAAAGCATATTTTTTACATCGTTCCCGTCTCCGTGTTCCCGCTCTTCAAATCTTACAGGAATTCTCGTTCCAGATTCTTGCGGAAAACAGAACGGGAAAACGTGTGTAAAAGTCGTTCCCGCAGAACTCTACTGTGCATACTATCAATTTGAGGCCGCGCACATATCTAAGCAGCTGCTCTTATATAGTAGTTTTGCTTGTGCTCATTGTTGTAGGAGACTAATGGATGCTATATATTTTCACAAGCTACGGGGAAATCGATGGTTACTGATGAAGATGGTTATAGCAATTCTCATTATGTTCGTCTTCAGTAACTGCCAATGCATATTTACGAGAAAATATCCTGCATTGCATACGCTTGCGATACAAAATACGGCAAAATCGAATTATTCGTCATTCATTATGAAAAAAAGATGCCCAATCTACACTTATTATACGTCTCTCTCCGCATCGGTTGATCATGCATTAACGGAAATGCTAGAACTATGGGGTTATGCATTCTATGCGCAAGGATTTTTTCCTGTTATTCTCAATCAAAAACACGCAGAATCAAGGACGGATTTCATAAATATTTCAAAAATATTCTCAAAATTTACAACCGTAAATCCAGCTGAATATGAACTGAGCTGTTATCTTCGTTGGGTGGCATTGCACCAGCAAGGAGGTGGTTTTCTCATGGACTATGATATTCTGCCAATGATCAGTCCGAGAAGTGAAAACATGCATACGTTTAGAACATGTAGATGGGGCCGTTTGACCACATATGCAAACATGAGCCCAATGGTCACTCACGGAAACACTTCTGAAATCGAACAATGGATTCAATACATGTTGAAATTCAAAACATCAGACTTCATAAAGATTTCAGGAAAACCACATATTTCTGATATGTATATGGCGATGCATGCAATTGATCATACGCCTGAACTTTTTACAGTTGGATCGATTTTGCCATGGTTTCATTACAGTTATTATGCGAGACACAGTATGTTCAGTCATATCAAACTTTCTGCTGCTCAGGTAAAAATTGAATATAGTTTGGTGTTTATAACGCGTGGCGCAAAAGTTCTGCATTCATTTTGTTGTTGATTTATCATTATAAAGGAATGTCTTCGAAACTGACTTCTGTTTTATTAGAGAGAATATACACAAATGAAAAGCATTGAAAATGTTTGATAGAGACTACAGAAACTTTAGAGCAGAAAGCATCGAAAAATGATGCCACAACTTTTGGTTTGAACTTTAAGAGATATCATGTAATCTGGTTGTTCTTATTTTCACTCGTCCAATTCTATGATATTCCATTAGAGCGTTATGTCAAAAACAAAATGAATACAGAACTTTTGCACTACACGTTAGTTGTAACTTTTATTGAATCTTTGTAGATCATAACCAGGAATCAGCGGCGTAGCCAAGGGGGGGGGGGGACAAATGGGCCATTGCCCTTTTGAGTTTTTAGTTTGCCCATTGAAATTTTTTTTACTGTAACTTTGCCCATGGAAATTTTTTTNTTACTGAAAGTTTTATACTATTATTTTGTTATTATTTGAACCTCATCTTATTTTTGTTTTATTGTTCCTTTTTTTGATATTTTTGAGACTGAAATAGTTTTGCCTATCAATAAAAATATTGCCCAAATTGCCCATATCTTTTTTTATACACAACACAAGTTTGCCCATAACGCTAAAAATCCTGTATACGCCATTGCCAGGAATCAACACATTTATCACTTCTTACACCATAATGTATATTTACCGATTTCTGCTTCTCTTTCACCATATTCTACACTGCTTGTTCGATCGTTAACTTTATGCGCTGATATCATAACATCATACAACGATCTTGATAACATATGTACATTTAATCACAAAATTCATGATATTTGTCGATTCATTACTATAAATGGATCTTGGTCACCAAACAACGCAAAAACTGGTAAGTGTACATGGAAAATTGGTCCTCCAGATAATAGAGAGCAATGGGGTATCGTAGATGCACCTATTCGCGAGCAAGAACCATTTGTCGTAGCTGTTTTACCACTACCTGAAATCTACCGTTGGCGTCGCTGGTTGAAAACAGCCTCGTTAATCTTAAGAAACTCAACCGTAACTGCTCTCGAATTTCGTACATGGGCTTCAAATCAATCCACTACTCTCATGCTAGATGAGTTAATTCCACTGAGCGTTGATCCGCGGCAAAATGATGGACGTATAGATCGTGCTATAAATGCAATTCGAATGGGTCAAGCTCTATTGATAACTGAAGAATTTTTTATTCAAATTTATAAAAATGGAGGCAATGAACAGCTAAAACGATGGATAAGCGCTCGCCTCGGTTTTTTTCTCACAGTTTCAGATATTGATCTTGATTCGAAACATGAAAAGCCAATTGCTCTAGACACAAAACTGTTTTCAGGAGATCGTCGTTTTTATTCTTTAGTACAAAAAGAGAATCAAGAATGGACGAAAAATTGGAACTATTGGCAAGGCAATTTTCAGTCGAATGTTATTGGAATAAAAACATAGCATGAACTGGAGCCATGCTTTGATATGTCCACTATTAGATAAATAAGAACCTGTCAAATCTAACTTATTTTATAACTTTATGATCTCTAACATTATCTTTGTATAAAGTAAATCAAGGCAATATGACTCGTGAGGTTTATTTCTTTTCTATATTAAAATGTTTAATCTTTCAAGCAGAAAATTAGAATTCGTTCAGTCTCTGAAATATGAAGAATAGCCATCTACACTAGAGTCCCTGAAGAGAACATCACAGAAGCTATTATACTCCAATATCTTGGGGGCGGGGTGCGGCCGGTGTGCTCTAGACATGCACCACCCAGCCAGACAAACGTTTAAAAATAACGCGTTACAACATTTATGAGTTAAAATAGATAGATATTTTTTTCATTTATGCGTTTCTATCCGTTAAAACTCTATTTTCACTAGATTTAACGCATTTTTCTCTTAAAAGGTTTTGTTACGTACAAATTTTACTATTATTTGACCTACGAAAATTTTTTATTCAGCAAAAAAATAAATAAACAAACAAAAATGTTCAGAATTACACGCTGTACCTTTTTAGTACATTGAGACTGAAGTCCACGGGGTGGTCGATTGTCAATCTGATCTTGCGGCCCAAAAGCAGCAATCAACATCTACCGGTAACAGTCAAGAATGTCCTTAAGAAAATGTCCTTGACAAAATGTCCTTTAGTGGAAATGTCCTATCTAAGAAATGTCCACCAGAAATGGTCATTCAGTTCAAAGGACATTTTCTCAAGGACCGAAATCTCAAGGACATTTTCCAAAGGACATTTATGACGTAATTCTATGTACCAATAGTAGAATTTTTATTTCTACTGCAATATAAATATGTTCACTTATCGTAAAACAGGCATATTTTAGGAAAAAAGCATTATCTTGATATTAAATAAATAAAGATGTAATATTTAGGATGAACATGTATTTATTGGATAAATGTGTATATAAAAATTCCAAAAGTATGTAAATATATTCTAAAAATTATTTAAAACATAAATACCTTTTAAAAATATTTTTAAAACTTATTCATCAGTGTGAAGCTAGCACGACGGAGCTAGCACGACGAAACAGAGATTCAACTATAAGTCTT